AGGGATCAGGACAGACGATTCAAAAAGCTGGACGCCAGTGGCAACATGGCACCGAGCTCTTCAAGTCCAGCTGGGTTTTCTCCCCCATTCAGAGCCAGCATGTTCCGTTTTTGGCGAACCAGCAGGCGCGGTTTTGGTGCAGATGGGACGACGACGACTTACAAGTGGTTGGGCAGAAATGCACGTTACACGACTCACATGTGGCAGGTGGTTCAGCCTCCTTGTGTGTAGACCGCTGCATCTCCCATCAAATGTTCCCGTTATTATACTGACCGTAATAGATTTCGGGCCAGGTGCTCTCGGCAGACGAATCTTTTGTATGCGAGAAAAACAAGGCGCGCGGCGACATGGTCGTTTGCAACTTCTCTTTTACTGTTTTTGGGCATGTAACTAGGGCAAAGAACAGAGCCGCCGCCGCCGTGAAAACTCACGACGGCAAGAATGTGAATGGCTGGCGCATGCAGACAAGGCCAAAAAAAAAAGCTTCACCGGCTTTCATGTCGCACGGCGAGGAAAGACGAAAGTGCCAAGGAAAATCGTGGGCAGGCCAGTTGCCAAGTGCCGGGTCCCATGACACTGTCGAACTGGCACTCAAGCACTTGACAGGACAAGATACATCTGTGGGTTAGAGTGGCAAAGAAGAGACGGGTCTTTTTGCAGCCAATAGAAATATATTGCGGAAACGGAGTTGCTCCACGGAGTTGCTCCGCGGATGGATCTTGACGGTTACGCGGAAACCCGCCTCAATGATGTTTACAGCTGGCAAGCCACAATCAAACACCCCTTGGCACAGGGGCGAAAACGAGTATGTACTTGTTTATTACTGATAGTACGGAGTATATGCATCCTGGCTTCATGGCTCGGGGCCGGCAATGACTATGGGCTTCGCTCAGCAAGATGCGCTGGCCATCGCATCACCAGACCTATCCAAATATAAAGTTTTAGCTTCATCTGATCGCCGATCTCCTAATTAATAAGTAGACTAGTGTTCAGGGTTCTCTTCTATAACTAATCAATGTCATATCAAGGGGAGTAGTTTGGATGAAAAAGAAGAAAAAAAAAGACCCAATACTACACAACTAACTCATGGGAGCCGCTCCCTAAATCTAGCCTCCTCCTCCCCCGCACCTTTTTGCACTCGTTTTGGCTTCTGTCAGCCTCAATTGACGCCGACAATACTCCCCGCCACCAGTCCAAATCGAGAGCGAGCCTCAAGCGCCGCATCATTTGGAAAGTGCCTCGAAAAAAAAAAATCCTGCAAGCAATCAATGGACCGTCAAACCACGGGATTGTTTCATTGGCCATGGTGGAAAGCCGACGACAGTTGAAGAAAAACTGCCCGACCTCGTTTGGCCGACTTGGACGCGTTGCAAAGGGTGTGTGTGCTCACCGCTGTTCACCATGCCCAGCAAAGAGGATGGAACAGTTTCAACAAGTCTTTGGTATATCTGCTCAATTCAATTTGCTCGTGGCACTCTTGCCTCGACGAATTGTGCTGATCATCAGGCGAACCTCGACACCCCCCTCCCCCCGGGGGTGCCTCACCTTCAACGGCTAATTACAGACACCGCCTGTGGTTCGCATGGTCCGGAGGATTGCGCAGCATCAGGCACACATTGTGGCCATCCTTTCCTCGATGGCAACGAGGTTGGCTCACATGAGCCTCAATGAACTTGTTTCGACACCGCCGCCAGCTCAGCATTTTTTCCGCTAATACGACTGTGTTTTCGAGAGCCCCGACCAAAAAAAAAAAGTATCAGCTCGACCATGCTGTCCCCCGGAGTCCTTTTTTGACAGACTACGCCGGCGGTGCCACTTTCAATCCGACGTTGTGCTCAACTGACAGCGGCCGGACCGGTCGCCGCGGCTGCCGGTGCTACTGTGGTTATACCAAGGACAATACAGTAGTTACGGACTTGTGGTTGTGAAATCGGACATGCCCACTCTCCCCACAAACCCCGGCTTTTCAACTCTAATTTGAATCCCGGTCGCTCCATTGGTGTGTGTACATACAATAGCTGGTCCGTGGCGGACAAGCACTAAAATAGCGGACTTGGAGTATGCTACTTGGCCACCCTTGCAGCAACGGGGGGCTGCGGCAGCGGGCATCTGCATGTCCTCAACTGCATAGTTAGTTAGGCCCTGAACGATTGGCTGAGGGAATCGCTGTAGGACCAGCACGACCTGCAGAAACGACGCGAACCTGAGCGGCTCATATGACTACTTGGGGAAGCTGCCATGGCGGCCGGCAGTGCTGGAGCGCTTTGCGGGTTGAGGTATCAGGGCTAAACTTGCGCAGCATAAAACAAGACTGACCAATGTCCCATGCAAAAGCAGCTTATATACCGCTGTTTGATGGTAACAAAACGAATACTGACGAGTGGGCGATTCATTCTTCTTTCTGGTGATGCCACAAGCTGTGACAATGAATGGCCCATTATGATTCATTCTTCTTTAGTCATGTCACAAGCACAAGTACAAGTTTCTCACTAAAATGTTGTTAGCTTTGACCATTCCGACACTCCAGATTGGTTGCGGCGCGCCCTACACAGATGCACGCCGCGCATGTCCAGTTCTCCACCAATCCGACATGCTGCTGATCAAGGGCGTGGAAGTTGTAGAAAAGATAAAGAACAATAAGCCGTCTACTTGGCCTCGGCTCAAATTCTCATTTCATTCTTGATTCATCACACACACATCAACACAATCGCCATGTATCTGCGCTCTGACCACGCCGACGCCGACACGGCTGCGCTACGCAAGCTGATTCGGGAGAATCCTCTGGGAATCCTAACCACCGCGCTCCCTTCAGACAACTTTCCGCTCCTTCAATGCTCGCACATTCCCTTCTTGCTAGACATTCAAGACGAGACGAGCGAGACAGAAAAGGGCGTTTTACGCGGCCACATGGCCAGGGCGAACCCGCACAGCAAGGCGTTGAGCGAGGCGGCGGCGGCGCAAACGGCGGCCAGCGTCTCCGCCGACGGCTACCTGGAGCGGGAAGTGATGGTGCTGTTTAATTTTCCCGCGCACCACTACGTGACGCCGAAATTCTACACCGAGACGAAGCCTGACACGGGCAAGGTGGTGCCGACGTGGAACTATGCCGCGGCGCAAGTGTACGGCAAGATCAAGGTGTACCACGACGGCAGGTCGGAGGAGGAGTCGGAGGAGGCGGGTCGCTTTCTCAGCCAGCAGATCGCGGATCTGAGCGACATGAGCGAACGGTCCATCATGGGATACACGGGGGAAGGGGCCGCGGAAAAGGGCTGGAAGGTGACGGATGCGCCCGACAAGTACATTGCGCTGCTAAAAAAGGCAATCATTGGCATCGAAATCAAGATTGACAGGCTCGAGGGCAAATTCAAGATGAGCCAGGAGCTGAGCGAGGGCGATCGCGCGGGGGTCGTCGAGGGCTTTCGGAGGCTGGGCACGGAACTGGGCGCGAAAATGTCGGAGACGGTCGAGGAACGTTCAGAATTGAAAAAGGCTCGAAAAGCTGCTGCGCAGTTGGCTCATTGAGATGATGTTGACTGAATGCGGTTGCTGATTGTTGTTGGTAGAAAAAAGAAAATCATACTGCATGTTCAGTGATGGATAATGGCCGTCCACATTGTCTCTTGAGCGAAATAGTGGGACGAAGCTGCCTCGACAGACACTTAAGTCATGTACTTGGGTATTTACAGCACGGCAAAATGGAATCGGCAGTCTCTGAATATTCGCAGTCGCATGCGAAAGGTGTTTCAAAACGAGGCGCTTGTGATTTCGGCGCTATTTATTGTACACGTCGAGAAGTGTATTTTAATGGTCTGCATTGGCCATTGAATCCGTAACATGTACTTCTTGGCAATAATCATGATACGTGCGCATATGCTGTGTTTGTGATGTGTGTGCAAGCTGTCAGACATGGATGGTGATGAAAATGCTACTCGACAAAAGCAGCTTTTGCTAAAAAGCACCACAAAAAAGAATGAAGCTAGACAGCGTTCATGCATGTCCTAATCACACGCAACGGCCAACCAGGACGTCTATGAAGGAGCCTGTCAACCTGTGTTGCCTGTTAGCATAATCTTGCCCATCAGCATGAGCTGGCAGTGTGGATCAACAGGGCTGTGCATGTCTCGGCGCGGTGGTTCGGGATCCTCTAAACCGAGCAAGGAGATCGGCTAGCTGTGTCATCTATGCCGGTTGGCCCGTGATCGATGCGGGAACAATGAGCGAGATGTTTGGCAAAGATTTGCACACGAACAGGGGAGCATGGGCAAGCAACACGGGGGTAGTCAGACAGCTACACGGCGGGCAACGCTCCTCGGTAAGTATTAGCTGGTGGGAGAGTGGGCGTCGAGGCCGAATTCATGTGGTGGTGGCCGGTGCACCGATACTACTGGACGAAGCGCGATCATCTGTTCTCTAATAAAGTCGTCTTGGGGCGAGATTCCTAGCATGAACGAGCAAAAAAATGGAGGTGTGGACTGTTGGACAAAGCCGGGTCTGCAAGATGCATCATGGGCCAAGACCATTGATTGCGTGACATAATAGGTATCAAGCAAAGTCATCAAGCAGTGACAAGCACCACAAGGTTGTGCTGCGCCAATCCCTCTTGGCACCACTCATTATTTATTTATGACTTGCTGCTTGGGACAAAGTAAGCCACCACTACCACTACCAAAAAGGGCCGCTTGCATACGACGAGCCAGCCAGCCAGCCAGCCACCGACAAGTGGTTTTTTGGGGGCTACATACCCCCGAGGATGGGGGCGGTCAAGTCGGCGGCTCGGGGGCGGGCCTTGTTATTAGTACCTACCTAAGGTAGTGAGATTGGGGGAGAGAAATTTAGACTATACGAAGAAGCTTATTGCTGGGCCTCCCGCCCCCCGTAAAGGGAAAGCCGGCGCGCTGCGCTGGGTGTAAGGTGGGAAATAAAAACAAAAAGACAAAGGGCAAAAAAAAAGGTTGTTCGTGCGTGCCAAAAATCCACCACACCAACGGCGGGCTGACTGTGATTTCGGCCTTGGCATGATAGGGAATTACGGACAAGGTAATAAATAATTGAGGGGAGAAAGGAAAAGCCAAGCGTCTAGTCCATGTATTAGTTACACTGTTAAATCAAGTAAGAAAAGAAAGACTGAGAAAATGCCAAGAGTGAAGGGGGCTTTTGCTGCGCCCATTCAGCCTGGGCAAACCCGCAAAACCAAGGCGCCTCCCCAACCCTCCTCGCTCATTATTAACCCTCGTTTTCTCTTAAAACACTACGTTTATTTTCTCCTTCCTCAATCCCATCTACAACATCCACCAGGATTCTCGCGCCTCTCGAACATTACTCGCCCCTCATCGGTTCATTCGGATCAACGGCAACCACAAGATTAAGCACATGCCCTTCGCCTGATGCGGCGTCTAGCAATCCTGCATTTGTCAGCGTCTCCGCCTCTGCCTCCGCCGCCCAAGCTAGCAGCACAATGGAGGTCTTTGGGTTGAAGAGCCAGTCGCTGCGGTACAAAATGGACGGCTTTGGCAGCGTCCAAATGTATCTCACGCCTCCCGATTACTTTGACCTTGCCGCTCCGCCCCCGGCATCCCACGGCCTCGCCCAAGCAGCAGCAGCAACAGCAGCAACAGCAGCAGCCGCCACCGCCACCACCGCCATGTCCACCAGCACCGCACAGCCCAAGACGACGCTCATCGTCGGCGCCTCGCGCGGCATCGGCAGAGAGTTGGTGCAGCAGCTCGCGCAGCAGCAGCCCCGGGGGCAGGTCATTGCGTCTGTCCGCAGCGCCGTCGATTTCGGCGGCAGCCCCAACATTCGCTCCATCACCCTGGACCAGTCGTCGGCCAAGTCGATTAGCGAGGCGGCGTTTGGCGTCGCCGCGCTCGACACGCTCGTCGTCAACGCCGCCGTCGGGGACGACGAGCGGCTCCTGGACACGTCGGACGAGCGCATGGCCGAGTACATGGACGTCAACGTCACCGGCGTCTTGCGCATCGTAAAGGCCTTTTTGCCGGCGCTCAAGGCCCGCAAGACGCGGCAGATTGTGCTCGTCTCGTCCGCCTCGGGCTCCCTCACCCGCCAGGTCAACGCGCAGGCTGGATTTAAAGGTCCCTATGCCGTGTCAAAGGCGGCCCTCAACATGGTGGCCGTGCAGCTGCACAATGAGCTGCACGAGTCGGACGGCTTCACCGTCGTTCCCATCCACCCGGGCTGGGTCTCTACCGACATGGGCCGCATCGGCGGCGACGGCGGCATGCCAGTCTCCAAGAGCGTAGCTGGCATTGTCAAGATTCTTGACAAGTTGACGCCGCAAAACTCGGCCACTTTTTATAATTATGACGGAACGACTTTGCCATGGTAGATTTTTTAAAAGACTCGTCAAGAATAGAGTCATTTCATGTACATATAACACGGCCCGTATTTGGGCAACAGATAATACACTGCATTCTTTTCCATGGCAAGTTTCATGACAATCATCACTTCAAGTCAACATGTTCTTCACTACGGGGTTGTATGGGCCGTCGTAATCGTTTTTGTCGCGGCAAGTTGCCGATGACAGGTTGACGCACCTTTGGACGAATCGGACAGTGAGTGAGCAAGGGTCGGTGTAGGTGGGTGACCAATGCGTCACTCTGCTGCTCTTGGTTATAAAACACGTATTAGCTATATAATGACGAGAAAAACTCTTGACTTTTGTCTTGATTTCGGCCCATCTTCTCCCTTTCTATGAAACATGGAAAATTTTCTCTTTTTTTGTTTCATCACAATTAAACTCTTGTAGTTTAGTTATGCTGTTGAGACGGGCATGAGTTTATAGCGTTACTCCACTGTGTTTACAGTATGTGGGCCTCCACAACAAACAGTACCACCAGTACATTTACGACAAAATTAGGAATTTTGGACGAGAAAAGCGCCGTGATTCGATTAAATAGAAGCCAAGCGCGATTGGATAATTAGTTCTCTCCCGTTACCTGTAAATAAAATCCGCTAAAAGTCAAAGTGCATACTAGTTATTCCATAGGTAGGCTCCTCGCGATTTGGTGTCAAGGCAGTTTGCAGCAAGCACTTTGCAGCTCCATTAAAACCAAGATCTCTCAACCTGCCGTGCCTGCTTCCGTTGCAACCACCACACCGAATGCTCGGAAGCCCCCCCTTCCAACCCTGCAGGGGTGCCTTTTGCAGGCCTTTTATAGACATTTCAGTTGCTCCTCCCAGAGATGCGGCATTTTTTGATACAAATTCCGAGGAAATCATCGATTACAGCTGCAAACGATCCGTAAATGTGTAAATGTGACGTAGAGCGACGGGTTCTCCGTGCCGCTAAGCTTTGCCAGCCCTGGGCGCTTCCTATCACCGTCCAGCTCCCGTTGCGCTACAGTGCGCTAACCGAAGCCACAGTGTGCCGGCCAGCCCCGTTCGTACCCGTTTAAAAAACAGGATCGAGCCACTGAGAGGCCCTGAGAACAAACGCTGCAGAGCACACGATGCCCAAAAGACCACTGGCCAAAAGGAATGGCATTTGCAGAGCGCAGGAGCTGACTGCGGGAGGGTTTCCCTTTCCGCCCGCCTCGGCGCCGCTGGCTTATTTTCTTCCTCCTTTCATCTCTTCACATTATTTCCCCCCCTCCCCTTCGTCTGGCCAAGTCTGCTGCCGTCAGGGATGAGGAGTGCGATACGAACTTGAGCCCATTTCCATCCCCATTATGGATTCTGTCCGGCACCCCGAGGAGAAAAAGTTGGCAGATGAGGAAGATGACGATGTGCAGCATGTGACCTCCTTTGCGTCCAACTCGGGGCCTCGTGGGCAGAGGCAACCCCTCGGGGGCAAGACCTCGGACGAGCTAGCAGGAGCTGAGCAGCAGCAGCCCGGGCCGGTGATGCCCGTGCTGACCGACACCCACATCCCGACCACGACGCCATGGGAGATTCGGGCCTGGTACGCATACTATATCGGAGCCAACGGCCTCGCCCTCTTCAACTTTGGGCCCACGGCCTTTCAGAACCTGCTCAGCCAAGCGGCCGGCGGCGACAAGGGCCTCTTGCTCTTCGCCGGCGCCGAGCGCGACGTCAACAGCATCGTCCTGCTCGCCAACGGCATCTCGTTTGCGCTGCAGGCCGTCTTGTTTCTCGTCATTGGCGCCTGGGCCGACTTTGGCAGCGGCCGCCGCTGGGTCCTCGTCATCTGGTCGCTCGTCGCCTACGCAATCGGCTTTGCCTGGCTCGGCGTTCACGACCCAAGCCAGTGGAAAATTGCCGCCGGCCTCTACATTGTCGGCCTGATTGCCTACCAGCTCACACTGACGTACTGGACCGCCGCATTTCCCTCGCTGGCGCGCAACACGGCATGGATGAAGGAATCACGCATCGCTCACGAAAACCAGGAAATAACGCTTCCGGAACTGGACCGTCGAGACGAAATGGAGCGTAGCCGTTTGAGCAACGTGAGCTTCTATATACAGTCTGTCGGTGAGGTTTTCATCCTCGCCGCCATTGTCGGCATCATGTATGCCGTGCACGTGCGCCGGAGTACCGAGGACAACAACTGGGGTCTTTCAGTGCTCATTGCATTTGCCACTGGCGTATGGTTGTTGCTATCGCTGCCTTGGTTCATCGCGGAAAAGACGCGACCGGGAATGAAGATTCCACCTGGGCTGAATATCGTCACCGTCGGTTTCTGGCAGCTATACGAAGCGGCCAGTCAGATGTGGCAGCTGAAACAGAGTCTCATTTTCCTCGCCGGCTACTTTTTACTCGGAGACTCTCTCAACACCACCGTTACAGTGATAGCGACTTTGCAGAATCAAGTAATTGCATACGATACTCTCAAGCTCACTTATTTATTAATCGTCGGTATTGCCGCCCAAGCAGTGGGAATCGGGTTGTTTTGGTTGATTCAGAAGCGCATGAATCTCAGTGCCAAGACAATGTTCAACGCCGTCATGGTGTCTATTTTGCTGCTCGATGGTTGGGGCATGATTGGAAATTGGACCGACAAATTCGGGTTCAAGAATGAGTGGGAAATTTGGCTTTATCAGGCGTTTTACGGTCTGGTCGTCTGTCCTTGGTACAGTTATTCTCAGATTATGATTTCTTCCGTCACGCCCCGCGGTCACGAGTTTCTTTTCTTCTCCGTTTTCAACATTATTGGCAAAGCATCGAGCTTCATTGGACCACTCATCAGCAGCCGAATCATTGACGCAACACCGGGCGGCACCAATAATAGCGCGCCTTTTTACTTTTTATTCGCTCTGAGTCTGCTCAGCGCCGTGGGTCTGTGGGCGTTTCTCAATCTCGAAAAGAGCGCACGCGAGCAAGATGCGTTTTTGGCCAAGGAAAAAGCCAGAATGGCAGACGACAGTAGTGATGCTGCAACGACGGCATGAAGCAGAGAAGAGAGCGTGGAAGAAGACCAAGTTTGTTTTGTTGTTTTGGGTCTGATGACGTATCTTGGCTGTCGAGGTTGCTAGAATTCGATTGCAGCTCTCTTGTCCTTACAACGTGATTTGATTTGCACGAGTCGTTGAAGCTGATAAACACAAGCAGATACCGCACCGGCAGTGCCCGTTCTTACACGCGAGGCAGGCTCCATCATCCCCAACAGACAGCAATTTCCATACAACCGTGAGATTGTCGTGGTTGACGTAGTCAGTAGACTGTATATTCAGTAGCAGTAGGTCGTAGCAATATATCCTTTGATGTTTATTGACTGTATTTACGAGACCGGCTAAACCTGGGTCCTGCAAAAGCACGAAGCCTTGACGGGCATGTCGGCCAGCTCCAGCGCAGCCTTTACTTTTCCACTTATAGCCTCTGCTTCATCGATTCTAGCCAGTGTAACCAGACATTCATGATATCCATGCAGAGACCAAACATTGTGCGGATGTTGATGCGCACGGGGCAGAGAGTCATCAATCCCCAGGTCGGCCTTGTAGACGGCCATTGCCTCTTCCACGTGCCCTTGTTCGAGCAGCAGAGCACCGTAGGCGTGCCTCGCAGGCTGCATCCACCCCCAAGGCTCATCAAAGGGCAGGTTGTCATACAGGGCAATGGCCTCGCGAAGATGCGCAAAGGCGACCTCGTAGTTTTTGGCGCGGTACTCGACTTCGCCGCTGAGCAGCGCCGCGCCAACTTTGAGAATCTCGGTGCACTGGTTGTTGAAGAGGGTACGCGACTCCTTTACGTTGGCGCGCGCCTTTTCAAACAGCGCCTGCTGCTCGCGCGCCTGCTCGACGTTTCCCATGGCGGCATGAGCGACGCCCTTGGCGTAGTAGGTGAGGGCGGTGCCGACGCAGTACAAGTCTGGATCGCGCGGGAGCTGCAGCGCCAGCACGTCGTCCCAGCGGCCGAAGCGGATGAGGGCGTGCACGCGCATGGCCAAAAAGGCCTCGAGCCAGTCGGCCATGGGCGGGGACGCGATGCGCAGCAGCTCCTCGGAGATGCTGGCCTCGAGCCGGTCGACGGTCTCGAGCGCGAGGGCCGACTGGCCCGAAAACATGGCGCCGTAGAGCAGGAAATGGTAGTCGTGGCTGCGGTAGAGCGAGTAGAACATGAGGGCGCCCTCGCGGGCGAGAAACTTCTCGTCGGCGGCGACGGCGGCCGTGTTGGCGAGGGCGGCGGCGGCGTAGTCGCCGAGGAGAATGTCAATGTGGCTCGGCATGTGGTTCAGGTGGCCAGAGTCGGGCACCAGCCCGCGGAGGAGGTTGGCGGCGGGCAGGGCGGCCTCGGGCGTCGTGGACATTTCCATGAGGTGAATGTACAGGTGCAGAGCGCCGGGGTGCTGGCGGCCGCCGGGGAGAGAGAGCGCGTGGTCCAGGACGCGCTTGGTTTCGAGCGTCCTGGCGCCCTCGGCCGGCTTGCCCGTGCGAATGTCCCAGAGCGCCCACGGGGTCAGATTCATCAGCGAGTCGGCGTATAGCGTGGCGACATCCAGGTCGTCGGGAAATTTGGCGGCGACGGCACTCATGGCATCGGCGTAGTCTGTGTTCCAGATGGTAGTCTTGACCTCATCCTCGTTGGCAGCAGGAGCTTCTCGTTGCGGATAACGGTAGCGTATCGCATGTATGAGCGCCCTTTCCACCGGCGAGATGGAGGTTTCCGTGGCCAGCGCCGTCGCCTTTTCCACGGCGTCGTGGGTGCGCTGCGTGGCCGACCTGCGCTCGTCGGCCTCAAACAGCGCCCAGGGCTTGTTGTAGTTGGGGCCCAGCGAGTACGCGAGGCCCCAGTAGGCCATGGCGCACTTTGGATCGGCCTTGATAGCGTGCTCAAAGCATTTGGCGGCTTCTTCGTGGTTGAAGCCGTAGCACCACACCAGGCCGCGATCGAACCACGTCTGCGCCTCTTGGCTCGCGGTGGTGACGGGACGGGAATGAGTGCCGAGATCGTAATACTCCATCTTTGGGTTGGGGGCTAGATGAGATTAGATGAGATGATTATACACGAGCGTCCGTGTTAGTGCCAATGCCAGATGAGATAGTTTGAGCAGATTAAAGGCTTAGGTAGCTGGACTATTTGGGGGGAGATGTAATCGGCCGGGATGCGCCTTCCCGTCGCCATCTGGGGGCTGATTCCACAAACGCGGGGCAAAGTCAGGCGACGTCACAAGGCGAATATATGTCTGAGGCAGTCAGTGAGAGAGAAAACACAGAAATAGAATAGAAAAGTCGATTACTTTGGACTTGACAGCATTCATCCAGTGGCATCAGATGAATGCGAGGCACTTTGCCAGTGGTTGTAAACTTTTCTCTCGACTTGATGGAGCTGTACTGTACCTGTACCGTGCCATGCGTGCTTAGGGTAGTACGGAGAACGAACAAGGGAGAAGCAAGAAAACACTGTACGATTATAGCCCGGTTTTCTTGGAGCGACAAGATAATACAAACCAAGTATACTGATGAGTATATACCATCATAACAATCATCATCTAGCGCTGGCTGACTTGACCAAGAACTTGTACAACGTCGGGGAGTTGGGCCAGTCTCAACCCCGCAGCGGGGGGACAAAGTAAAAACACCTTTATATATATTATCGATAAATTCTAGAAAATAGCTATCAGTATTAAAAAGCAAACCTAGGATAATTAAATAGCTAAATAGTACTTTCTGATTTTGGAACCAAATTATTTCTTATTTTCTATCATTTTAAAACGTACTCTGTTTCTCTAGGTGTTGGTGTGGTGCATTATGAGGATGGGCCAAGCTTTTTTTGTCCCCCTTGCCCCCGGTGATCTACATGGCTGCCTGACGCCATGAACTACCGAAAATGGAATCCCGCCGACACCTTGGGCCTACAACTCATTCAAGAGGTTACGAGTTGCTTCTCGAGACTTCTAGTGCATAATCGGCTATTCTCGAATTATTCAACGAGATGATAGAGTTTCCAATGCATTTTGTATATGCCCCCGCATTGTCGTCATCCCATATAAAAGACAGGATCCCTTGGTGCCTTGTAATGTGTCCCGGCAAACCCATTCACTGAACAAGTTCTTTCGTCGACTGTGCCACACCATTTTATCCCAAATCCATACATAATAATCAGCCATGTCTGACTACGCAAAATTCCCCAAGACGGCCACGCTGGCGGTCCATCCTTTTACCGCACACGCACCCCAAGAAAAGGTGCAGCACTTTACGCAACTCCTTGAGCTGTCGCCCATCGGGCCCGCCGTGTACGAAAACACACAAAACGGGCGCGCCTATGGCGTGACGAGGACTTGGTTGCAAGAGGCAAAGCAAAAATGGCTGCAAGAGTTTGACTGGCGCAAGTGCGAAGAGCGCATCAACTCGTTTCCCAACTTTAAAGCCAAAGTCAAAGACGCGCATGGCAACAGTCTTGATCTTCACTTTATGGCACTATTCTCCGAGAGAAAGGATGCAATCCCGATTGCATTCATTCATGGGTGGCCGAGCTCGTTTGCATCTTTCATGGATATCCTGGATCTCCTCAAGAACAAGTATTCCCCCAAGGACTTGCCATACCATGTCATTGTCCCATCGCTGCCAGGCTATGCCTACTCGTCTGGCCCACCGCTGGATAAAGACTACGGGTTGGACAAGGCTGCTAGTGTCATGGACAATCTAATGGTTGGACTAGGCTTCCAAAGCGGCTATCTTGTCCAAGGCGGTGACTTGGGAAGTTTCATCAGCCGTATTCTCGCATTGACATCCGACTCCTGCAAAGGCATGCATGTCAACATGATGTCCATTCCCGGCGGCGAGCAGCCGACAGATGACTTGGAAAAGGTCGCGCTGAAAAAGGCCCAGGAGGCTGTCGATACGGGAATGGCCTTTGCTCTGGAGCAGGGCACACGTCCCGCCACCCTTGGCCTGGCTCTCAGCGCCAGCCCGCTGGCCTTGCTCAGCTGGTAAGTAGTTCTACCCAAACAAACCCCATTCCTTGCCTGCAAAACTGCGTACCTCTTTTGATGCTAAATTTCTAATACAGGATTGGTGAAAAGCTGCTAGCATGGTCTGACCAAGACCCTCCTCTGGAAAAGATCCTCGAGACAGTCACGTTGTACTGGATGACAGACACCATCTCGCGATCCTTTTGGCATAACCGAGCCATGGCTGGCGCAGACGACGACGACGACGAACCAAAGATGGCGCGCCTATCTGTTGTAAGTGTCTTCAACCCGCCCGCCGCCCCCTCGTCTCGCACCCAGACGGGCGAAACATCCATCACGAATTTTGCTGACACAGAAAGAAATAGGTCACTTCCATGTCCATGATTAAGCTTCCATTCGTTCACAAGCCTACTGGGTACTCTTTTTTTGCGCAAGAGATTATTCCCGTGCCACGCAGCTGGGCGGCAAAAACATGCAACCTCGTCTTCTTCAAGTACCACGAAACAGGCGGTCACTTTGCGGTAAGTTTTAATCCGCATCTCACATCAATTAACACTATGTTTGACCATGTTTAGGCTATGGAGAAACCTTCAAAGTTGCTTGAAGATGTCGAAAGTTTTGCGGACTTGGTTTGGAATCCTGCGGTCGCTCAAGGTTGATGGGGAAGAATAAGAAATGATAAAATCTAAACTAAATGGTTTAGTTCTGACACTCAAATTTTTGTCAAGTTATAAAGACAACTTTATCACCACAATGCTGATATTCTGATTTCAAACAGTATGCTTCTCTGTTATACGTGCTCACTTGCACCTTGTTTTCAGTGACGCGACAACTCGTCGGCCGGGTTTACTACCCCATTCATAGCTGCAGTCAAAGGAAGATCCACGCTGGGTCAGTGCTGGCTTCTGAATGTATAACAGGTCGCGGTATATATAGAAGGTATGCCCCGCTGATATATAATTAAGCGAAAAATGCATCCTGATTGAAACGTTGGCCCTGTGTCCTGGGATACGAGCCGTATTATTGGTACTGGCTGCATCTTCGGTTCCGTATCGGCAGGTTCCGTTCCAAACGATGTTTCTGGCGACGGCATGAGCCTTTCAACAATTGCAGAGTAGAGTACTCTTGCCAAGACATTGCGGGACTTTTGTTTACTATTTTGGAAAATATCAACATTCTAGAAGACATGTTTGGGCGCACATCTTAACAAGTCGGCCCACCTCATTATATTGGGCAGCTGCAGTAATATATTGGGGCAAAGCTGCACCCAGGGTCTCTCTTGCATTGCCAGCCCGAAGCAAATCTGGTATTATAGAGGCAAAGTCCATTTTGACACCTACCACAGGAATAAGCAAATCAAAGAAACAGTTGATGAAAGCAATGAAGAAGAAATGTTTCAATAAACACCATGCTTTTCAGCCACGGCCCTCTTGAACCACCCGCGACCAAGCCCCGCAAACTGCCCCGCCATCCCGCGATAGCGTTTGAAGAAGATGGGTGAACAACCGAAGTTTCCGACTAGCATAAAATACCTCCTTCAACTTCTCACCCCTTTCACAAAGTCTTTGCTCTTCTGTTTCGACAAGTCACACATAGAAACCACCACCTAGTACACCATGTCTGCCAGTCAACTACCGCTCTCACAAGGCACGCTCGGCCACCTGCTGCCTCCAAGCTGGACGACGCAGGTGACGGCGTGGCTCGCCGAAGACACGCCCTCGTGCGACTATGGCGGCTTCGTCGTCGGCGAAAGCCCGCGCACCGCCACGCTCTGGGGCAAGTCCGAGGGCGTCATTGCCGGGCGCCCCTTCTTTGACGAAGTCTTTGCGCAGTGCGGCTGCACGGTGGAGTGGCACGCCGCCGAGGGCGACCGCGTCCAGCTGAACGGCGCCGGCGCCGGCGGCAAGCACAAGGTGGCGACGGTGCGGGGCCCGGTACGGGGCATCTTGCTCGGGGAGCGCGTCGCACTCAACATGCTGTCGCGGTGCTCGGGCATCGCGACGCGCAGCCAGGAGCTCGTGGCGCTGGTGCGCGCCGCGGGCTACACCGGCATCCTGGCGGGCACGCGCAAGACGACGCCCGGGTTTCGGCTCGTGGAAAAGTACGGCATGCTCGCCGGCGGCGCCGACGCGCACCGCATGGACCTCTCGTCCATGGTGATGCTCAAGGACAACCACGTCTGGAGCCGCGGCAGCATCACCGAGGCCGTCGTCGCGGCGCGGTCCGTCGCCGGCTTCGCCGTCAAGATTGAGGTCGAGGTGCAGACCGAGGCCGAGGCCGACGAGGCCATTGAGGCTGGAGCCGACATCGTCATGCTGGACAACTTTTCCGGCGACGGCGTGCGAGCGGCCGCGCGCAGCCTCAAGGAGCGCTGGGCGGGCAAGAAGCATTTTATGCTCGAGGTGTCCGGCGGTCTGACGAGGGACAATGTTGGCCCATATGTGTGTAATGGTACGTGTCCTCATCATGTTTCATCGACGGGGAATGAGTTGGGTCGCTAAACTGTGCTGCAGATGTCGACATTATTTCCACAAGCTCTATTCACCAGGGTGTTCCGCATATTGACTTTTCGCTCAAGATTGAGCACTAGCTAGCTCTGACGGAAATATACCATAAATCAGAAAACTCATAGATACAGCTCGGTGAGCCTGCTTGGCAATTTATAAAGCGAGGGCCAAACTACAAAAAATGATCATGTGACGTGCATTGACACGTCGTCTTCTCTCTCTCACGAGTTCAGAGACACATGTCCTTTTCGTGAGTTCAATTTGCCTCATCTCCTCCACAGCATGCCACCAGCACGCTGGCGTGATTCTTGTTAGTCGGCACATCCAAAGCTGGGTTCGCGGCAAAGAAATCACTCGGACGCAAATGCAGCTGGTGGATCTCGACTGGCCTGCAGTCTATTAGCGCGTATTGCGTCGGAAGAATCGTCCTCATCAGACTTACATGACTGGCCAATCCTCGACTCTCGGATTGTGAGTGAAGCCAAACACACTCCAAACCACGGGATCGCTCGTCTGGCCGGCCGTCTGCGCACCCTCAACGGCAAAGATGTCTCCTCGCTTGACCATGTCCGACACGCCTCCCTCTTCAAAGGTACTCTGGTTAGTAAACTCACCTGCAGCCCAAAACTCGCCATCACGATGGCCAGTCACCCAGAAGTTGTGTTCGGCGAAGCGAGCACGCTGGGCCACTCGACTGTTAGTGTCAGCCAACAGCATCTGAGTGGCGGGCGAAATAAGTCTGTAGCCAACGTTCTTGCTAGAAATTGGATTCTTCTTGCCCGGGTTCTCTAGCTTGATGGTGCGGTTCAGACGCACTTCCGAATCAATCCACATAGCCCGCTCTACAGGAGTGCGTCGAACCTCGTAGTAGTTGCCGTACGGATTGGTCTCTGGGTTCATCTTGTGAGGGTGACTCTCCTCAACGACCACCTGAGTTTGACCATTCTTTTCACTGCCAAAGAGATCAATGGCAGGGTCGATACGTACAGCAAAAATATGCTGATGGTTCTGAGCCAGGATACCGGGAGACACAACGTTGCCGTACTTGCTAGTCTTGCCGTCTTCGATACCAACAACGCTCACCATGCCGGTAGCGCGTGTCTCGACGGTGATACCACCAGCTTGATCAAACTTGAAGGCAAGGATGTACTCGTAGTTGACCAGCGTGCCAATAAACTGCACGACAAACTCGCGCATCCGAGCAACAACGCCTCGGTCAGTGCGATAGTTGGTGTGCTTCCATAGGATACCACTATCCTGTTCATGAAGGCAGACAACTGAGTCAAGCTTGGTTGGAGTTCCATCGGCAGCAGGGAAGAAGGCGTCAACATAGTGAATAGCCCCAAGACAGTCACAGCCGAGCTTGAGACTATTCGCGGCACGACCAATTCCACAGTCGCCAAAGTCAAAGGCCTGTTTTCGGTGAAAAGGAGCTCGGGGGTCGCCGTATGGAACGGTTAGCTCGCTGTAGCTCAGACGATAGAGAACAGAGCGACCATCATAGCAGATATCGTGCAGTACCGGTCCTTCTCGAGGGGTAATGGACAACCGGAAACGCCACTTTTGCCATTCGATGAGGTTATCCGAGTGGATCTTAAACGACGCGCCTTCGGGTTGCACAACATCAAGAGGCTTGAGACCGGAACGAGGCGGAACATCAAGCAACTCGGGGATATACTCCGCGGGGACAGACTTGGTAAAGATGTCCCGTGGCTCTTTCGAGGCAATGGAGGGGCCCATGCCGTCTTCGGAACCGCCGGTAGGAAGGCGATCAATGCGGATGATCTCCTTGGTCGACCAATCCATGACTGGAATCAGTGGAATAGGGTATGAGTAGTGGTTAGTGTCCGGATTCTTCTTACGAGCATCGCGAACGAAAATGAGGCCTTGCATAATTTTGAGGATGCCATCATCCTCGTCTGGACCGCCGTACGGCCAAGGGTCAACACAGTACTCGAAGCCCTCGGGAACTGTATACTCTTTGAGAGCCTCCTTGACCCTTTCGGAATTCATGCAGTACTCTTCAAAGACAGCAAACTCGTTGCTATGACTGACTCAGCAAATACATCTCTATCGTCACCGGTCACTTCAACTTACACATTGTAGTGCGGGAAACCATGATTCTTTCGCGGAATTTCGTCGTTGTGTAGGACCTGGCCGGCAACAACGTCTACTACAGCACGGTGAAAGACTTGAGCGTTTGCTTCAAGTACATCGTATTCGACCAAGGCGGTTCTGATGGGACGCGGGGTGGCGTCAGTCAGGCGGCCGGTGTGCTCAGCCTCAAGAAACGGTAGCAGCTCCGCCTTGGCGGGCTCTTGAAGATAGATGGTACGAAAGAATATCGGTTTATCGGCAGCCTGAATTCTGAGTATGGCATCACGAGCATTGACGAACTCGAGCTGAGATAGCTCGGCTAGCGGATGCGGGGCTGTGACGACAGAAACGTTCATCTGAAAGGCTCACCAGAAACACTGTTTTCTTCTCGAGGAGTCTGTCGACCTGAATGAGTTTTGGTGTTAATTTCTTTTTTGGACTCGTAAAGAGCGGCTGGTTGGCCTTCCTAGATGCTATAGATACAAGAGAGTCTGGCCAGGTTCGAAGTAGACTGCGATGCAGTTGGGACGCTAGGTAGTGGGTGGTACACATATATGAGAATAAACATTGAGCAACCCCTCTCTGTGAACTTGGGCTAACGATACTTTGCTGCACCGATGGCACTGTCTCGCGAGACGGTCCGTTGGACATCCTACAGCTGCAGTCTGCAGCTTGCAGGTGGAGCAGTGTGAACCACGGCGTCTAGAAGAGGTTAATCAATGAGAATATTTCTCCGCATTACGAATCGGAAAAGATGCAGATTCGACGGGATGAAGACGAGCGGCAGCTTCCCGCAGGAGGGGTCCGCGGAGTCCGTGAAGCCGCTGATGTAACGATATCGAGGTGATCCTTATGTGGTAAGGCATATTCAGAAGAGCCAAGTTTCGAATAATGTGGCCTTCTGAATCAACCGCATGACTGTTAGTATCATCGATAGTGATTCCAAGACGTAATCTCCACTATATATATGCTATCAATAGACAGTTAGGAACCTGCATCAGGGGTGTTAACGTATATCAGAACTGATTCCATCATCCTATGAAAGGTGTGGATCCGCATTTACGCGGACGTAAAGGGAAGAGGCTTTATGGTGTGAGCTGGCACGCCTGGACTTTGCATAGGTTATTACGCTATCATTGACAAATGCTCAGCGATCTCGAGTCAACAAGTTGTCGCTTATTAGTTAGTTCGTCTGATGCGGCAGTCGGTCAACATGGAAACGCGATATCAGGGTCCAGAGAAGCACGATAATCACAAGATGCGCCAAAGCACAAAGCGAGTCGGGGATTTTATTTTGCCGCCCAAATAGTCAATGCTGGCGGGTAAGTTGTCGAGATGATAGGCTTAAACTTGGTCAACGCTGACGCACTATTCAGGCGTTCTCGCACGCGGTAGTGCCGTTCTCGCTGCAGTGCAATTACTGTTGGTGCAGTTGATGTTGAAGTAGTTCGTTGTGCTCAGACGTGTGCAAAAGATGAAACAAATGACCATCAGCAGGCATTGCGGCGGATGGGAATTGAGGCGCAGATGTGGGGTGCGTCTCGAGAGCAGCATGAGAAACGACAAAGCCGGTGCGTTTCAAACCACAGCATAAAAAACTGATATTTGGGATGGCATCAAGTGGTTGGTGGCATGACAAAGTGTAGCAACGGACAACAACAGACGGTTGTCAGCGTAATTGATCTTATGCTGTGAAACCGGATCTGCTTCCAACTATGCGGGTGTGCCAAGCATGTGCACTGACAAGCTTGTAAGGGTCGGCGTCGGCGGGTTGGCGTGCCCAAGCGCTTCCATATCGAGATTACAAGGACGGTTACACAGACGTAACTAGTTAGATGTGTAGGTGCTCATGGACTCTGCTGCAATATTCTCGCGGCTTTGCGGTTCGATTCTGGGGTGTAGATTGTTAGCTCGGTTTCTAGACACAGTCTGAATAATTAGAGACCCGATAAGCAATAACTAAGAACACGTATGAGAAGCTCTCCGCCTTTGGAACTATTGCACATTTATTGGTACCAAGGGAGACGAACAAGACCATAAGGCACTACCGCACTTGGCGTGTACAGCAAGGGCTGGTTCGGGACAGGGCCGACGAGGCCTTGAAACTGACCACTGGTGTTATCTTTTGCCGAGACTCTCTCATGAAGAAATACGAACAAAGAACAGATACACGCGAGAGGCTCAATTTACCGTCTGATGGGGCGGGGTGGGCACGCACGAACCAATGGCGAAAGTGGGCTGGAACATGCCACGAGGAACATGAACGGATCGAAGCATTCCATTGATGAGGACTGGATAGGGAAATGAGAGTAAATACTCTCGGCTGTCGAGACTGGTATTACTCGGCATCAAAAGTTGTCATTTATGGCGGTCGGATGTCAATCGAGGGGCGCACAGTTTGCGTTTGCGTGTCGCTTTGCTCGAGCGACGCAAGCAGCATGAGGGAAGCACGAAGCAAGTCGAGTACAGGAGGATCGTCGGTGCCTCCATCCATGTGTTTCGAGGCTAGGCAAGAAGAGAAAGGTGCCATAAGATGTGCGCGGACTAAAGAAAAAAGTCATCAGGGCTAATTGCAGATCAGTTTTGCCACTACCAACATGATCTGGCTGTAGGATGCTCATCAGTGCACATTCATGAAAAAGGGCACTTGCGAGGTGCTGCAGCTGCCGCAGCCCGTATCAACATTGCCAGCTGCGAGCCATTTGCCAGCTGCCAGCGCCGTTTGCATGCCATTCTGCAATCTGGGAGCGCGGAAAAGCGCAAACGGAGACGAGACGAGCTACAGGGGTACCCAGGCGGTACGACCCACCATCTGCCCACAGGGCCACAGCCTACAGGGCCAAAGTCATCCACTGCAGGTAGGTAGCTTGGTAGCTATCGCCCTCACTGGCCCTCACAAAAACGCCCTGTCGCCGGCACAAAGGCAGTCGCGCCTCCACAGTCCTCTCTCTGCCACTGTCTGGCCCCCTATTTCTGTTTTCTTCCTCATCCGTAACGCATCCACTTTACGTGAGATCAACCTCGAAACTTTTGCCCTCCTTGCTTCTTATTTGTTTTGCCCTTGTCCGTCTTCCCTTCGGTCCTATTGCCTTTTATTTCTTTCGTGCTCTTCTCGGGCTTTTCCATATACCCTTCGAAGCATCCTTCCATCACTCGTGGACCTCTTTTTTAACCTTTTTTTTTTTTCCTTTTTGCGCCTCTGTTTACAGTTTGCCATACTCTTGTCGCAGACCCTGCTAAATGCGCCTCTAACTGAGACGAAGCACACGTCGTCATCTCTCCCCACCAGCGCCTATTTTTAACCAGCATTCGATTTTCGACCTCGTTTTCTCTCGCGTAACTCCAGCTGGCTTGCGCTCCCGACTGTTCTGACCTCTCTACACCTTTCAACCTCATCCATGCCCTCATAGTACATCAACGAATCGACTCCTTCCTCCGGCGTGTCACGCTCCGCCTTTACTGGCCAGACGCCTCCCATTGCCAAAACTATACCACCGACTTGAAACCCACCCGACCAACCTCTTTTCGTCGACGACAGCACCTCGACACAATGCTGAATTTACGTCGAGCACTTATTGCGGCGGCATTCTTGCTGACCATATTCTTCCTCGTCTCTCGTTCCCATCAATCGTCAGCGTCGTCGAGCACTTTCGCCACCACACAGTCGGCAGCAGGCGCCACGGGCGCAGTCGACTCCTCGACAGGCGCTGTCACACAACCCGGAAGTCGGACTGCAACGCAGAAACCATTAGTTGACATGTCGCATATGTCAACTACCGACAAGCTTTCTTATACCTACCCGTATGATATTGAAAGGAAATTTCCCGCCTACATTTGGCAAACCTGGAAGTATACGCCCGCCCAGGGCGAATTCCAGTTCCGCGACCAAGAGGCTTCTTGGACCATTTTGCATCCAGGCTTTGTCCACGAAGTCATCACAGACTCGGTTGCTATCAGCTTGTTGCGCATGCTCTATGCCTCCGTTCCCGAGGTTCTCGAGGCGTACGAGGCCCTTCCCCTGCCTGTTCTTAAGGCAGACTTTTTCCGCTACCTTATCCTCTTTGCCCGTGGCGGCATCTACTCGGATATTGATACCCTTGCTCTCCAAAGCGCCGACATGTGGATTCCAAAGGCCATTCCTCGCGAGAGTGTTGGCATGGTAATCGGTATCGAGGCTGATCCTGATCGTGACGACTGGGCCGACTGGTACAGTCGCCGCATTCAGTTCTGCCAGTGGACCATCCAGAGCAAGCCTGGCCACCCCATCTTGCGGGATGCCATCGTGCGCATTACCAATGCTACGCTCACTCTCCAGGCCAATGGCAAGCTAAGCAGCATGCACGGCAGTGAAGGCGTAGTCGATCTCACTGGCCCTGCCCTTTGGACCGACACCATCATGGACTACTTCAATGACCCTCGTTTCTTCGACATGACTTCGACGCCGGGCAAGATTGATTACCACAACTTCACCGGCATGGAGACGAGCAAGCGCGTTGGCGATGTCGTCGTACTTCCCATCACTGGCTTTTCTCCTGGCGTCGGCCAAATGGGCGCCAAGGAACCCGACGACCCCATGGCGTTTGTTAAGCATGATTTTGAGGGTAAGTTACAAAACACTTGATTGGCGAAAAATTCCGCTAATAGTCTCTGTAGGAACTTGGAAACCAGAGAGCGAGCGACACATTGGCGAAGGACAGGTTTCATAGCGTCCGCTTGCCTCGGACGTTTAAGGCACCTGCTGGCCGCTAAAAATTGCATCTCAGATCTCGCTACGTGCGATGGATTTGACACGAGGCGTTATTCTTCTTTTGTTTTCAACTATTACATAATTGCAACTTCGGCCGACCGGGACTGGTTCCCGTTTTTGTTACCATATTCGCGTTGTCTCTCTATAGAGATTTGTGGTTTGGTTGGGTGTTTCTGCTTGGGCCCTTTTTTTTTTTTTTGGAGATGGCCGCACATGCTGGGGATTTTGCAAGATGAGGAGGGATTTTGATCAGGCGAAATACTGCGCTGCTCTCGAGGTGAAGAGAAATAGGCTACATGCAATTGTCTCTTCAGGGCTCTACATACAAGAGCCTGTTCCATTTTGTACAATATCATCATAGAATCGATTGCAGGCGCTTTTGCCAAAGAGCATGAATGGGTATACTTTGAGTATGCGATGAAGTTGCAATTGCAACCTGAAACGTCAAGTGTGCCCCACGACCTGCCTATTGGCTATCTCCTTCAGCCGTGGTCGGATCGTACAGCCTCGTGAGCCTTATCACGCTCCAGCTTGTCTCGCCGGGGACTTGGCCCTGGCTTCGGTAACTATGAGACGGCATGACGAAAGTCACGACTCACAACTTGCCGGCCCCACAGCAAACTCGCCATGCAAGACAACTCATCTCCTGAGCATTGTGATGTCTTTAAAAAAGTCGCCTGTAGCTGATGCTGAAAACAATGTGTGTCAGCAATGGGTAATCTTCAAAGTGAATCCCCAGGCCATTGCCGCCGCCCCGTCACAAGTGGGCACCAAAAGAAACGAATGGCTTGTCTCTAACGTGTCGGCGTAACATGACGGGTCTTTCTTTCACCGTTTTTTTTTTTTTGGGCCATTTAAACATGTGAGCCTTTGTTGCCGTCGGTGAGTAAAAATCTCGCTGATAGTCTGAGCTGATAATTCTTTTACAGATGTCTAATTGCTTTAGTGTATTTGCTTGTTTTCGGTAGCGCCTGCTACTATCATGAAAAGTTCCTCATAGGTCTCTCATTCCGCTGGGCGCGCCAAGTAAGAACTGCTGCGACGTAACAGTGACAAGACGAATAAGCAAGAAATGACGCAGTTTCACTTTTCTGCGGCAGGTCGTCGAGCATGGCCAATGTCTTTTTTTTTTTACCAAAACCCCTCATTCACTGGCCGCCATGTACCACACACTTGACACAGTAGCAACGCCGAGTTCTGGCCGCTGTCGCAAAACGGGCGGCTGTACCACAGAAGACGCAGACAAAAGGCCGTAGCGGAAACGGCAGAAACGGCAGAAACGGCAGAAACGGCGCGGTTTTTTTTGCCCTGGAGCAGTATGGACGAGTTGACTGCGGTTGTCTTCGGCACTTTGCAGGCCGGGGGGGGGGGGGGAGCTGTCGAGCCTCGACTTTGTACGTTGCTGCTGCTGCTGCTGACGACGCCGCTCTTTACTGCTCAGGCGAGGTTGCAGAGGAGGATATGCCGGCGACAAAGTGCTAACATGTCGTCGATGGGTAAAGTCCCGCTGCTTAGATGAGAGCACGCGAATGGCAAGCATGGGTAACAATGAGCAGGTAGTTGCCTACTATTTAGCTTTTCTTACTCTCAACTACTACGTCAAAGCAGCCAACGGGGCCGTCGGGATCAGCCAACTTGTCCAGCATTTCGTCAGAAACCGTGGGCCAAAAGGGACTAATACAAAAAAGCCTGAGGGCACTAGTCGTCTCAGAAAAACACCACTTGGCGCCCCAAAAGATGCATACTGTGCGAGTTTGAGCCTCTGAGAAAGGCGGACGTTGAAGCTCGCAGAGAACAAACAAGTTCGTGACTAATAGGCCCCTGCGGAAAAAAAGCAGCTACCACCTCACAAGCTGGCGGCCGCGTACGCGACAGATGTTGCAGAATGGGCTCGTGAGATTCGACGCCGTGCAAAGCTGTTTGAGCATTCTGGGGGGCATACAAATTTACAAACAAGTCCACTTATTCTACAAGCCAGGTATATCGGTCTGGCATCGAGGTTCGAAGAGATGCCACATTGGGCATGATGGTACTTGAGAAGCATTTAACCCGCACACCTTGCCAAGATTGTGTTCCTCTGCGAAGCAGCTGAGTAAACAGCTTTGCAGCAAAATGGCGGGCCAGGGTTTCACTTTTCGTCCTCCATGATGAACGCCTTCTGCCCAATGGTCTTATACTACCGCGGCCACGGGACGCGCCGCCGCCGCCGCCGCCGCCCCCCCTAGAGCTGCCTGCGCCGGGGGCAGGATGCCCACGAGAGCCTCGTGTGCAACAGCAGGCTTGGCTGTGCATTGCCGAATACGTGGACCGAGACCCGAGGAGGCGCTGGGGCAGCGTACGTGGCATGTCGCCGCTCATGGGAATGCGGAAGAAGGATGCGGCGGCTACGTGGCGGATGTGTTTAAACTGCAACGAGCATTGCGTCACGACTCTGGGAGGGCAAGACCCCCCCCCCCAAGTCACGTAGGTACAAGCAAGCCTTGGAGCGCGAGTTACTTGAAGAGATCAGGGAGTGGGCATGGTAGAGCTCGCAGCAAATGGAACAAAAAAAGATACGAAGAACTATCGAAGCCAAGCAATGCTCCATGCATCGGCCATGTAATAGCATCTACAACGAAAAGCTGATATTCCCAGTGCCAATTTCAGCTATTTATGGGAACGGGTCGCCGTACCGAATGCAGTTCCTGATCCGTTCATATGCATTTGCAGCGTCAATGGCGTCGTCGATACGAGGTGCAGTCGTTGGGAATCTGGAAGAGGTCGGCCCAAGTGTGCTGCACAGCCACAGCCTCATTGGGCAACCCCGAGCCCGGCTCTCTCAAGCGAACGGTGTAAGCTTGCTTACTCGCAACTGCAGCACAAAGTGTGCAAAACACGTGGGGTGTCTTCTTGATATAAAATGAACAGACCATCTAGTGGAAAGAAGAAGATGCTATTATTCGGCACCGGCCACCAAGCTCCATCATCATCCGTTTTCGCCATCAATGTTGTCGTATCAGTCTATATTGGTGACAGCCCTACTAGCATGGGCGCCGGCTATTGCTTCGGCCGCACCGGCGGCTGCCGGTCTTCTCGGTCCCGCCTTTGCGGCCCCGACCCGTCTTGCCGCGGAGCCGTCGATCCGCGCCGCGGCCGCCAACGTGACGGCGCTCCTGGACGAGCTGTTCCGCACCGGCACGTCGCCGTGGGGCAGCCTGCACGCCGCCAACGACACGGCGCTGTCCGTGCAGGTGCTGTCCATTGACGATGACGACGGCGCGCGGATCGTGGATTACCACCACAGCCCCGGCAACTTGAACGTGTCGGCGGGCAGCGCGGCGCGGGTCGACGCCGACACGGTGTATAGAATCGGGAGCATCTCCAAGCTGTTTACAGCGTACGCGCTTCTGGTCAACCAGGGCCGGAAGTGGTGGGACAAGCCCGTGTCAGAGATCTTGCCGGAGCTTGGGGGACAGCGGGAGGAGCGCGGGGATGGTGCGCAGACGCGATGGGGGGAGGTTACTGTTGGGGCACTGGCCTCGCAGATGGGCGGCGTCAGCGCTGGCTGTAAGTACTTTATTTTCCGGATTTGCACATATACATCTAAATATATAGATGTGCGCATATGTGTCTGTGTTGGGTGAAGGATGATGTTGCTAACACAAGCAGATTCTACGCAAGACATGGCTTCTTTTCCCATGTTTGGCGCCGCAGCCGGCCTTCCTCCGCTCAAGCCAGACGAGATGCCCAAATGCTCCAACGATCCTTCACAGCCGACCTGCACCAGAGAGCAGTTCTTTCGCGGCTACCTCAAGCAGCACGCCGTACAAGCACCTTGTACCACGGCCATCTACTCCAACGCCGGCTACCATCTTCTAGGCTACGTCGTCGAGGCGCTCACCAACCTGTCCTTTGCGGATGCGCTGCAAAGAACAGTCCTTGACCCGTTGGGCCTGAGGCACTCGGGAGCCACACTTCCTGCGAAGAAAGGCACGGGTGTGATTCCGCAAGGCGATTCCGGCTGGGACTTGCCCATGGGCGACGATGTTCCGTGAGCAGCGCGCCCCTCCCACCCCCCTTCTTTAAGCTCACCAGCTAATCTCACGCGTAGCACGGGCGGCATCTACGCCTCGACGCGCGACTTGGGCGAGTTTGGCAGGGCAATACTGAGCCACGCGCAGCTGTCGCCGCTGGAAACGCGCCGCTGGATGAAGCCGCACGCGCACACGGCGCTCTGGAGCATGTCCGTCGGCGCGCCTTGGGAGATTATCCGCACCCGCAGCCGCACGACCACCGGCCACCCCGTCGACCTGTACACCAAGTCGGGCGACGTCGGCGCGTACAGCTCCATTCTCATCCTGATTCCCGACTACGGCGTCGCGGTGCCGATTCTCGCCGCGGGCAGCGACTCGGCGACGGCCGTGGGCGTGGCCGTCGAGCGCGTGGTGCAGGGGATCCTGCCCGCGCTGGAGACGGCGGCGCGGAGGCAAGCTGCGACCAACTTGGGCGGACTGTACAGCACGACCGGCAACTCGACGCTGGTGCTGAAGGCGGGCGGCCAAGACGGGATGCTGATTGAAAAGTGGGTGAGCAACGGCGTCGACACCCTCGCGGGGCTGGGCATGTTTGCGCAGAGCAGCGGGCGCACGCTGCGCCGGCTGAGCCTCGTTCCCATGGGGCTAGAGGAAAAGGAGAAGGAGAAGGAGGCAGAAGAAGAGGAGGAGGATGATGGCCAGCGGCGGCGGGTGTATTACAGGGCGCTGATTGAGACGACGCTGGACGGCGTGGACGAGGCGGTGCCGAGGGTCAATGATTTGAATGACGTGGCGTGGAACTTGCTGGATGCGTATCAATGGGGCGGTATTGGCATCGATGAATTTGTGTTTATGCTGGGAGAGGATGGAAAGGCGACGGCGGTGAGGCCGCGGGCCATGCGGGAGACGTACATGAGGAGGTAGGTAGATGTTCATGTGCGGCCGTGGCGGTTCACGAGTGAGGTAGACCAAAGGTTTTTTTCGCTCATCTCGGATCCCCTTTGCTCAATGTATTTTAAAGGAAAAGAGATGAAACTAAAAGTTCAGCCGTGTTGAACGAGTAAACACTAGCACTCTAAAAAAATCTTCATTTAGATTGTTGGCCAGATGTCAATGCGACTCATGAACGCACTATAACAGATTACCCCAGATTGTTAAACAGCGCTAACACCAATCAATATCCGTCCGATGCCAAGGTCCAACTAATCAGTCAACATATTAGTCTCGATTTTTTCATTATTTATTCGATTTTTATACACCAGTTCATTGGCAGGTCCCCGCCTCGGCCCCAGCCTTTCTTGTTTCCCGGCCGGCCCCCCCCCCCCCCCTTCCTGTGTCTGCTGTCTCTCAGCCGCTAATTAATAAAGACCTGCACCGCAAGACCGCCCTGACACGCCCAGTAGCAACAAGCCCGTCGGGACAACGGAATTAATTACCTAGGTAGTTGACAGCGAGCTTACCGTTTCGCATCTATCTGCCTGCCTGCATCTGTCTTTCCTCTCCAGCCCCCGCCCCCCACCACACACACACGCTCCTGCGTCACTTCCGATCTCTTTTTTTCCATCTCTCCACGAAAAAGCCGGTTCAATTCTCTTGATTCTTTCTTTCTTTATTTTTTTTTCTTCTTCGAATTTATCAAACGAAGCGTGTGGCATTGATTCTTACCCTTGATTTTCTGCTTTTGAAACCCGTCACTTTAAAGCCCGCATCATGCTGGCTGCCGCTTCCAGGAAGGCCCCGGCGGCAGCAGCAGCCCGCGGCATCGTGCGGAGAAGTGTCATCCGGGCGGCGCAGCGACGATGTCTGGCGACGGAGGGATTGAGCATACGCACCGGTCCAAGTGAGGTGAGGTTGTTGCCAGTTTCCTCTTATACTCTTTCATCTCCCCATAAATCCAGAGATTCCTCTCTTCTCACAACGCAATTACGTCGTTGCTCACCCCTGCCACTCACTATCTCACAAAGCCCCCGCGATGCCCTCACTGCTCCCCTCTCACGCAACCACCCTTTTCTTTCAATTGACAGCAGAATTCCCGCTAATCTTCCACATCAGCCTCCTTTATACAAAGGCACCATCCCCGAACACTTTGCCTCCACCGTCTCCCAGCACGGCGACCGTCCCGCCGTCATCGCACGCTCCCCCGCCCGCGCCGCCTCCCATGAGACGGCGCTCAGCTACTACGAGCTCGACCTCCTCTCCAACCGTCTCGCCTCATCCCTCGCCTCTCTCGGCGTTACCAAGGGCGACCGCGTCGCCGTATCTCTCGGCAACGGCGCCGAGTTTGCCGCCCTTACCTACGCCCTGTTCAAGCTCGGCGCCGTGCTCGTCCCGCTGAACCCGAGCTTCAACGCGTCCCAGGTCGCCGCCGCGCTGCGCCACCTCGCCGTCCAGGTCCTCATTGTCGGCGCCGTCACCGACACCGCGTATCGGCCGGGCCGCGGCCGCAGCAACGAGCCGCTGCTGACGGAGCTGGCCGGCGGCGACCTGCGCGGCGGCGCCATTGCCAACCCCGACATACCCAGCCTGTCAAAGATACTGGTGGTGGATAACCGCACCAGCCACCCAGACGTTCGGTTCGATCTGGACGCTTGTAGGCGTGTGTTGACGCCTTACCGGAACCTCCTCGACGGCGCGGACCGCCCCGTGAAACCCGCAGCGCCGCTGTTGCCCTCGGACATCATCAACATCCAGTTTACGTCTGGCACCACCTCGACACCCAAAGCCGCGCAACTCACCCACACCGGTATCCTCAACAACGGCATCTTCATTGCCGACCGCATGGGCCTCGACTCTACCGACCGCATCGTCGTCCCGCCGCCCCTCTTCCACTGCTTTGGCTCCGTGCTCGGCTACATGGCGACCGCCACCACCGGCGCCGCCATCCTCTTCCCCAGCCCTGCCTTTGACCCCGTCGCCACGCTACGCATGTGCGTTGACCACGACGCGACAGGCCTCTACGGCGTCAGCACCATGATCGTCGCCGTCCTCGAGGCGCTCGAGTCGGGCGCCGCCGCTGGCACGCCACCACAGCACCTCCGCAAGGGCATCGTCGCCGGCAGCTCCGTCCCGGAATCCCTCATGCGCAAAATATACGACGCCCTCGGCCTGCAGGACCTTGTCATCTGCTACGGCATGACTGAGACGAGCCCCGTCAGCTGCATGACCCGGCCGAGCGACGCGCTGCATCTGCGCTGCGCGTCCGTCGGCGCCCCCATGCCGCACACCTCGGTCAAGATTGTCGACCCGCTCGACCGCACCCGCATCCTGCCGCTCGGCGAGCGCGGCGAGCTCGCCGCCGCTGGCTACCTCGTCATGGAGGGGTACTATGGAGACGCCGCGCGCACCGCCGAGGTGCGCGTCGCCGACGACGCCGGCACCGTGTGGGTGTACTCGGGCGACGAGGCCGAGATGGACGCCGACGGCTACGTGCGCATCACCGGTCGCATCAAGGACCTCATCATTCGTGGCGGCGAAAACATTCACCCCCTCGAGATTGAAGACTGCCTGTTTCGCATGCCCGGCATCAAGGAGGCGAGCGTCGTCGGCCTGCCCGACGACAAGCTCGGCGAGTGCGTCGCCGCCTTTGTCGTCCCGAAGCAGGAGTGGACCGTCGAGGGCGGCAGTAACCACAACGGCGCCGCGGCGCAGACGGCGAGAGCAGAGGGGTCGAGCAAAAAAGAACATGTGCTGACGCGAGATGCGGTGAGGGACTGGGTGCGCACCAGGCTGTCGAGCCACCTGGTGCCGAAATACATTTTCTGGGTTGACGAGTACCCCAAGACGGCGAGCGGCAAGATTCAAAAGTTCAAGCTGCAGGAACAAGCCAAGACCTTGTTGGAGGAGCAATAGAAGATTCTCAAGACGACTATTAGAAGAAATATCGGAATGACTAAAGAGGGCGTTGAGTAGTACCATGTAGCACCAGCAGCATCTAAGAGCGTTTCTTGCCAGTCTTTTTTCTCTTGTTTTGGGCATATTACAATCTACTACACCTTTTTCATTACATGTGGCACAGGACAAGATACACGGCACTGCAATAAATCGTTTTAAAAAAGGTATAATAAATGAAACAAGTCTAAACTGTTCATAGCTCATACAGTCGAGAGCTGTTCTAGCAGGTATAGTCAGAATGCAAAGTCCATCCATCTCCTTGTTCCCAAAAGGCTGTTTTGGTCCAACGTAAAAACGTTTTGGCGGCAGAGGCTCAACGTAGGTATCCCAGATTCATGACGGAAAAGAACAGAATGAGAAGACAAAAAAGTTATCTCTCAACGAGGCAAACGCGGTTTCACGGCTATAAGCCATTCAAGACCAACAAAGTAAAAAGGCAATCCTTTGAAAAATAAAACCAACTCCAAAACACCCAAATAAAATCGTCTCGCCGTGGCTAAACGATGACGCTTTTTGCATCTACTCGACTTGCTTGTCGCAGCCGATGCGGCCCAGGAGCTCCTTGCGGTCGCTGTGGCCAGGCAAGCTGACGCTGGAGCTGTTAGCCTGACGCTTGATGCCAGACCGGCGCTCCCAGCTCTTAAAGTCGAGCGCCTCGACGCCGACATCTTCCTCAAGGGCCTCTTCGTAAACAAACACTTCCTCCTCTTCCATTTCCTCTTCCTCGTCCTCGTCGTCGCTGCGCGAGTCCTCGGCGCCGTCGCCGCGCAGGACCTTTACGGCCACGCGCACAATCATGGTAAACCAGATAATAGTGATGACTTGCAGAGCGAGAAGAGGAGTGAGGAAAGCCCACTTGATGTTGTTGTTGAAGCACACACGGCCAGTGCTGTTGTAGTATGGCTCAAAAAGGTGGCCCAGACCGTCGCCAGGGTCCTGGGGGCCGACAATGTTGGCGTTGCTACCGGAGTAACACCCATACTGGATTTCTTCCGGGATATGCGCATAGACTGACCAGCAAACCATCATGTATATCACGTGTCGCGCCGCAAACCATGAAATCATAAACAGGCCAAAGGCATAGTCACACGCAGTAGTGAATCCGCTGTACTTGAGACATTTGGCAGCCTTGAACATGTAAGAGTCAGTCTAGCATTGCTATAGAATATAGGCCAACGTACCGGAAGAAACAGGTCAACAACGTCCATGATGACTAGGATCAGGTGACCAACGCGGGTCTGGTGGTAGCAGTAGCAAGAGGAGATGAGGAGGGTGGTGATGATGTGGTGGCTGAACATCTGCCAGTGGTCCTTGCGACGGTCCTCGATATTGATGACAATGATCTGCTGGAGCCAGAAAGCCCACTGCGCTAATATGTAGCCCTTCATTAGGCCATCCGTCTCTCTGTTGGGCCAGTTGGTCCAAAGTTCATGGAGATTGAGCCAGTATGGGGACTTGTAGTACATGTACTGCGGAGATGAGTTAGCAGCGAAGAGTGGTTTTTTGCGTCTTAACCTACGGCACCCATTGTCCAGAAGACACTGTAGTAAACAAAGAGCCAACCCTGCTCAGTGAATCGGGTCAAGTCCTTGCGCTTGGTGATGCCGCGAGATCGGCCCACTGGCGCCAACATGTACTCCATGCAGCTGGCGCGGAGACCAGTGAAGAGAACGATGAAAAAGGCTATGAGATACATGTCGTCGACGCCAATGGCGTAGTTGCCGGAAGCGGGGTTATAGTACGAGAGGTGGAAGAACTTGTTGGTGTGCTCACGGGCCTTGGGAATGAAAGCGTGCGCGAGGAAGAGCAGAGCGAGGAGGTTGAAAGAGAGACCTAATGGAAGCGCGCAAGCGGTCAGTTTTTTTCTTGGATCATTGTGCACCAAGACATGGCCGTTTGCGTTTGGTAAGCGCTCGAGACGCCATTCAGGAGGAGGACAGGGGGAAAGAGTGTAGTTTCGTACCAATCTGATTCTCAACGAACCAGCGCGACAGCTGCTTCCAAGTGCCCTCGTCCTTGCGCTTGAGCCGGCGGACGAGAACAGCGCTGGAACCCGAGGTTTGCATGTAGAGCGGTCCATTCATGTTGGGGACATTGGAGCCAGTCTTGATTGTAGGATGGGACGACTTGGCGGTGACAGGTCGATCGTCGACGAGCGTCGAGGAAGCCTTTTCCATTGCGACAGGTGCGAGAGGATTTGGCCGTCCGGGGCGAAATATTTGAGGCTCGAGGCGGACGAGGTCGAGCAGTGCAGGCAGCGGAATCCTGCTCAGCTATCGAGTCTGGCAGCCGAAGCAGCTAGAGTTGGCGGAGTGACGACTTTTTTGTTCTCTTCTATCTCGAGGTGCAGCCAAGCGGTAACGGAGTGGGCGCTAGCAGCTGTTGCGATAGCCTGACAAGGGCAAAAGGACGCGGCGTGAGCAAGATTGGAGGAGAAAGTATGCAGTCGAATTGATACCGGACAGGATAGGAGATGAAGGTCACTACCAGACTGTGATTCGTGTAACACGAATGGTATTTAGGGCGAGGTTGCTTGCGAAGCGCCGAAGGGCTCAGGAGAAGTGTCTGAGCGCGCCTCTCGCAAAAAAAAAAGCTGCAGGAGGAGGAGAGGAACCAGCGTTGGCAAAACAAGATGCCCAATGCCGCCACAAAAAGGGCAACAAGGAAAGATATACAGGGAAGATGAAAATGAGATCAAACCGGTTGGCTGGCAAAGGATTCGCTTCCCTCGAGTGTCGAACAGGGGTAGAGGTAAGGAAGAGAGGAGGAGAAGATGGAGAAGGAAGATGGCTGGTGGGTGGAGGCAGGCGGTGGAGGGTTGGTATAGCAGAACTGCGAATTTAAATTGGCGCTAGGAAGGTTTGGTGGCAGTTATTTATAAATTGACGGCGCAATACTTGTCGGAAAAATTGACAAGTATTACCGTAAAGTAGGGAAGGCAAAGAGTGACATGAGTATCCAAAGACGAAGCAAGCAGACGAGACTTTGCAATATGTTGCAGCTTTGTGGGAAGGTGGGGTTGAGCGGCGGGCTACCTAAATTTACAGATACAGGCGATAGTTTTATGGCAATGGTTGAGTCGTGGCAACATTGATACTCGACACCATACATGAATACATGATTCATGATACTTTTCATGGCGTCAATAGCATTTTCTCATTCTTGATCATTATTTGATGGACCTTTTTCCACAGAATCAAGGGAGAAGCTGGCGAAATCTTCATTCGTACCGAGTAAGTACCTTACTTCGTACGGATGCAGTGACCAGTATAAAGGTATCCACTCATCCACTTTTGCAGCTTCGTGGACCCTTGCCAGCCACTCAACTCAACTTTCATTACTGAACCATTCTCTCGCCTTGCCCTCAGCAGAGAAAAATCGATAGTAAGGATTCTCATAAATACGATTATCGGTGGGTTCTAACATTTGCCAATTGCCAACCACAACTGAGGATTGCAAAATAAACTCAACCATACGACCCCTCTTCCCCCAGTGCGCAGCTCCATCGCTGTCGCAAATATGCCCCACACTCTGCGCATATCCCTTCTCAACCTCGATGAGTTTTCCTCTCAGAATACCAGTACTTGTCACTCAAGGAGCACAAGGGCAGAGCGGTGAGCCCTCGCCAATTCATCTTTAACCGGAGACGCTTCCCGCTGCACATCACCCCACGACACGTTTCAGCATGGATTTATGGATAGTTGCGTTTGCTGCGCATCTGCCTCAACAATCCTCCGGCCACCACATGCATGTACGAGCTGCAGCCGCTCACGCTTTGCCTTTGCCGGCCCTTATGTACCAACTTGCCAACTAACCACCTTCTTCAAGAGAGGCTGGCTGGAAGCCCATCTCAGATACCAAAAATTCTCATAATTGATCTCACCAATTAGGTCATACTCAGGCAGCTTAAATTCGACCGGATTTTCCAGCCCATCGTTATTAAAATATGCACGACTATGCACATCTCAACTAACTTGTTCGACAATGAAATGATGTAATTTCGCTTCTGCTCAGCAGATTCTACGATAGCTCAACGCTTCTACACGCGCACAAATGTATATCATAACTGTTTCCTGAGCTGTATCATGACAGCGCCCATCTCGCCATAAAAAATTGACCGGTCAGTTGCACTGAGCTTCTCGCTACAGACCATCCTTGTTGAAGGTATCCGTACTCTCAAGTTGATAAAATCGCACAATTTTCGTGCGCGAAAACTCATGTCTCAGCCACGGAGCTCGCATCCGCGTCGCGCCATTGATGCAGCAGCGTAGCAGGGATGCTACCCGATCACATTCTGGCTGGCTCTCTCTTCAACGAGCTGGCAACTCTCAATAACTGTCGCCGTTTAGAGTACGGATTAGAGTACAACATGTAAGCCGTTTGAGGATGGAGATGGGACGGAATACATCCATCAAAGAGGCACGATGGTTTGCGCCAACAAGGCGACGGTGCCAGTTTGGTATCAAGGCAAATGATCATTGTATGCAAGGCGCCGGGCACGAAATATTCCATCTTTTGCAGAACCAAATATTGCCATAGTTGATACGACCACAAGCATCATTCTTCACCACACTCAAACATCACGTCTTTTTTTTTCGGGTGCTTGACCCGCCGGGCCAAGCTCCGGAGTAGAGGCTCTAGTCTGCGCCACAGTAGCACGGGATCTCTGCCTGCCCCACAGGCAGACGCCACACCCTCCAGCCTTAATCAGCACATTATGCGTCACAAGCTTCGCCACTCATTGTTCCTGCCTGTTCCGACGAACCTCTTCAAGTTTCACTACAACTACACGCGCATATCAAACCCTCCATCAACGCAAGCATCTCCCACGATAACTGCACCCGCCCGCCATGAGCTCTACGGCAAAGTACCAACGCGCCCCTCAGGACGAGCCCGACGACTACACTACCGCGCCGCCCGCCTACGGAGCCGCCTCCCACGATGCCTCTGGCTCGGCCGCCGCCGCCAGCGCCGGCATCGAGGCGCAGGGTCTCTTTGCCCATGCGCGCAGTAGCGAGGATAACCTTCCCGACGACTTCAAGGTATGGATTTTTCTCTCACTCTTTTCACAGAGGACGCGTGTGCGGCACCTTGCTAACTCTGAATAGTTTGGCGGCTCCGTCGCCGAGGCCACCGTCGATATCCGGAACCAATTTGTCCGCAAAGTCTACACCATCCTCACCGTGCAGCTGCTCATGACCGCCGGCGTCAGCTCCCTTACCTTTTTCAGCAGCTCCTACAAGTCTTGGATTCAAGCCCACCCCGGCGTCGTCTGGATTTCCGTACGTTCTCCCTCACCCTTGGGGTCCCTCCAATGACCATACCTATCAAACTGACCAAAATACAGCTCATCGGCTCCATGATCTTCCTTGGCCTCACCTACTGGAAGCGCAAGTCCTACCCAACCAACCTCCTCTTCCTAACCCTCTTTACACTCGCCGAGGCCTACACCATCTCTGTCATTGTCTCCTTTTACCGCACCGGCATCGTGCTCAACGCCGTCGTCCTCACGGGCGGCATCTTCATCGCCCTCACCCTCTTTGCCTGCCAGACCAAGTACGACTTCACCTCTTGGATGCCCTATCTCTTTGGCGCGCTCTGGGGCCTGCTTCTCTTCGGCTTCATGTCCATGTTCTTCCCCTACGGCTCCACCGGCGAGCTGCTCTACGGCGGCGCCGCCGCTCTCATCTTCAGCGCCTACGTCCTCGTCGATACGCAAATGGTCCTTCGCAAGCACCACGTTGAGGAGGAGATTGCCGCCGCCATCAGCCTCTACCTTGATATTATCAACCTATTCCTCGCCATCCTGCGCATTCTCAACTCACAGTCCAGCGACTAAGTGCAGTTTGATTAATGCCGCCTCGCGAATGGAAACTGGCGGTAATAGGTGATGTTGTAATGACGATGGGGTCCCTTGCATTTTAGCGTCTTCCGTTTTCCTCTCTGTACTGAAATTCGAGTTGGCCTAGTTATTGTTCGTCTTCTTTTTTTCTGGCTCACCTTCTGTGCGATTGCTGGTAGCGTGGAATCACACAGCTACTCACAACGTACCACACATCTCACTCAATAGCGACTACACCTAGGTAGAAGAATCACAAGTATGTCTTCGATGCGACTGAAACATGCAAAATTATATAGGATATTTGCATTCAGTTCACTAAAACCACTAAAGAAAATAATTAAACGGCCATTTAGGCATGCGCCGACATGAACGGGTATACACGCATGAATATCGAGACGAGTCACTTTCCGCAACTCAAATAATTCTTTGCCTTCACACTGCCAGCCCGGCCAAGCCCAATGCCACTCATTCTTCCCTGTCCAGGAGTCAAGCCGCTCCTGATTCATCCTTGCCTCTGCATCTTGCTCTCTTGGCCATACCATTTACCAATTGCGCTTTCATCGCAGAAATGTGGCCACAGGCCTCCAAGGTCGTAGCATCATAGACAGCTTTTTGTAGCATATTCGGAGAAAAATGTAAGATTCAAGCTGTGACACGGCAGGTCCATACCAGTCTGCTCGATTCCTGCTTCTCAATCAAAGAACAGAAAAAACACCAACGCCCTAGGCTCAAGCATAAACAGACCAAGATCCCCACGTGGTATATACTATCCGCAGGGGGGATTCTTTACTCTTCTTGCTTGCCGTTCTCGCCCAAAAGGTTGACATTAGCCTGAGAAGTAGCCTCGCGCTGCATGCGAGCCTCGATCTCGCGAAGCTGGGACTCGCGGGCCAGAAGCTCCTGGCGCTTCTCATTGATCTCACGCTGAACCTTTAGCTCAATCTCACGGAGCTTCTCCTCCTCACGGCGGAGCTGCTCTTCCTTGAGACGAACCGACTGCGAAGCGAGATCCTCAGGGTTCATGGAGCTGTCGACACTAATGAAAGGGTCAGCGTTGGGTCTTTGCATGTGGCACAGTTCTGATGTGTTAAACTCACCCAGCGGCACCATCCACACTCTTCGAGAGCTTCTCGGTACGGTAGTTCTCGTAAAGGAAGTCGTGGGTGATTTCCTTGAGATCGGCAAGATGGCTATGAAGCAGAGCAGAGCGGATGGCGAGGAAATCAGAGTGGCGAGGGTTGTCAACCTCGACGACACCCCAAGGGTACTGACGAGCGCGAACCTTTCTACCGCCGATCTCAACAACATCCTCAGAGCCGACAATAGCAAAAGGCATGAGGCCGCGAAGCTCAGCATTCTCCTCAACGGTGTCCTCATCATCCTCATCGACATCGTAGGGGAAGTTGTAGACGGGAATTCTGTAGTGCTCGATGTCCTCCATGACAAGCTTCTTGGATTCGGCAAGCTCCTGAGGAGTAAGAGAGTCGGCGCGTCCGATAACTGGGATGACATTGACACGGGGGGCGAGGCGCTTCATGAGCTCGATATCAAGTTCGCGAAGGCTACTGAAAGTTAGGCGACTTGCACCGTAAATAATTAGCAAGACACATACCCGTGACCGGTCGGAGTGATGAAATAAAGCATGGCGTGCACACGATTGTCTCTGAAACGCGGGTTACGCTTGATTCGAGACTCCTCAGCCAGGATATCGTCATATTGTCTCTCGAGGTAACCGACAATCTCAGAAAAACTAGTATGCGTCAGCGGTTGCCGTAAGGTTTTCGGGTTTGATTAATACACCCATACCTGGCCTCGTTGTCAATCTGGTCACCGAATCCAGGGGTATCAACAATGGTCAGAGAGATGCGGGTACCCTCTTCGTCGAGTTCTAATTCTGATATGCATTAGAGATGTGGCAAGGTGATGGGTAGTTTTCTCGAGTCGTATCGTACCGACGGTGACGGGCTTGATCTTGACACCGTCTTCGACGTGAGCATCGTCGGCATCATCGGCATCCTTGTGCTGGAGGACGTCCTGGCCGCAGAGGGTGTTGACGAAGGTAGTACGGCCTAACGCGCAATGTCAGCTGTAAGGAGACGGAGCGGAAGCCAGATCGATAGCCATTATGCGATTCTCGCCCTCATCGCAAGTCGAGACGTACCAGTTCCAGAAGCACCGCAAACCATCAGGCAGAATTGAATACCCTTCTTGACATTCTTCTTTCGGCGGATCATCTGTAGGCGGGGTAGGGTTGTCAGCTCTGCTCGATACCATTCTAGCTGTCGATGCAGGTAGAAAAGCTATCCTCATCAAATGGACTCAAGCAGCAAATTGCGATTTCATGCTGCTCGCAATGATTTCTGGGGTCAAGCTTCGCGAGCTGATGAGCTGAGCATCGACAAGAAGCGGTACGTACAGTAGCGGACGACATATTGACAAACGGTTCCTAGCCCCTGAGGCTCCTGGTGGTCGCGAATCGACGGCGGCGGTAAGATACAAGCGAGGAGCGAATTAAAAACGAGAAGGGATAGCCTTGCTGAAATTCCAACGTGCGATGGGAATCGAGATTGATGCTCGAGCTGTTGCTGTCACGAAGCGAAAGGGAAAGGGGAAACACCGTTGGCGGAATGAATTGGGTTGAGGAAGGGTTCAAGGGGATGGACAGAGCGGATGTGTGGTGCGTAGGTAGTTACTGGCTGGCAGTGGCTGCTAAAAGGGGAGAGGGTCGTCGGTGGGTGGGTGGGCAGAAAGATGAGAGGCCAGGCTTGCTGGAGCAATTTCACGCCCGGGCCACGCAGTGTTAGTGCCGACCCGGCGATGGCAGTAGTGAGCTCTACCAAAGGCATTAATTGCACTGCAGGCAAGTCCAGGAAAAGCCATCCCAGACAGCATTATAACACTGTGCTGGAGAACCATGCCAGGTGTCTGCGGAGTAGGTACAAATAGAGCAGAGTTCATCAGAGCTACCCAAGCCAAGTCCTACGCTGTAAATACCTACCTAGGTAGGTTCCTTATGTAGGCAAATACCTAGGTAGCTGGCTGACCGCCCCTGCCACCGCCCGAATGCGAATCGTGGCCCCCCCTCTTCCCCTGGATCCCACCACTTTCCCCGGGGAGTGGGCTGCTGCTGCTCCGGAGCCGGGCACTGTGCAGCCTGTGCAAGGAAGCAACTTTAACTGCTGCAGCCTCTGTACGATAGACACAAGTACCCCTGGTCCGTGCGTCGAGCTTGTCTACAAGGATCGACTTGGGCCCATCACCAACCAAGCAGGGCCTTCTTCCTCCTTCACATACAAACGTCCTTCTTAAAAGTTAACAAGCAGCCATTGAATGGAAGCAATGAGGTCAGGAGTCATATTCGAAGTCGTCTATTTCATAAGAGGCGTTCCAGATGAACCCGAATGCTTGCACCACCTGGGCCAATGGGAATCAAGAGAATAACGGCATCTCTACGGGGTAGATTCGAATGGTAAGGCTACTCATCTCCATTCGCACCCATGTCGCAATTCTCTCAAGAGGACATTTCACGACAATGAGCTTGACCCAGCACCGCAGGAATTCGGCCGGCTCGCACAAGAAAAACTGATGCGTGGCTTTGACACGCTTTAATTTCACTCATCAATAGATGATATCAAGGTCTTTCGTCTCGCGATGCTCCATTGTACCAGCTCGTGATGCTCTATAGTCTATGCGCATCTACGAATCCAACATGAATTACTCCCTGATCTATGTCATAATCCGCCCATGCTATCGACCTCGTCCCAGCCTCTCGTCCTCATCTTGAGTCAAATCGTACGCTGGCCTAAACTTGGTACACTCTGCATCGATCGCTAGCTTCGGGTTCGGTTTCGTGTTGCTCGTGCCTCCAAGAGACGTATATCCAAGGTTATACAGGTTACAGTACGGAATGTCCAATTGACGCAAAAACTGTGTCTCTCATCAGCAAAACGCCCTCTCCCATGGTTTACCCCGTCTCGCAGTGCGCAAACCTACAATCCAAATATCCACGTAGTGCCAGTCAATCATAGGATTGACCCGCATAAACTGTGGCCAGCCCGCGTCGGTCATGCTGAAATGCTCCAGGTGCTCGCTGTACGGGTCCGTCCGCCGAGTGCCCATGAAGATGGCCCGGACCGCCGGCGTCTCGGCCAGGTACGCGTCCAGCGCGGGCCGCATCGCCATTGTGTATTGCTTCAAATCCAGATGGTACTCGCGAGTCGATTGTGCGACAAACTCGCCCATCTCGGGGAAGGGGTCCGGCGGCGCAATGTACATGGCCTGGATCCGGGGCACGTCCGCCGTCGACGTCTTGCCGCCGTCCGCCGTTGTCGTCAGGGTCGGTAGGCATGCCAGCAGAAGCACCAACAGGCAGAGGCAGTCCTTTCCACCATTATAAGAGAGCGATAGCTCCTCGAACCTGATCCCCGTAATGTCAGCCCAGCTTTCGTGCCGCCTCCCGCCCCCCAGTCTCCCCGCGCGGGATTAGCCGAACAAAGCCTCGCCGACATGGACTTACTTGTAACGCTTCAGGGCCTTCTCCACGACTTGCAGTGATATGCGTGTCTGCTCCTGTGTTCTCCTAACCGCCTCGTCCGCGGCAGGCGTGTCGAGAAACGCCAGGACCTTGCGCCGCAGCTCGGCGCATACGGCCGGCAACGTCGATGCGCGGCCGTTTGCGGCCTCGCCGGCGTGCGCTGCGCCGTTGGTCTGTGTGCTCGGCATGTTTTGTGCCTTTGTTGCTGGGAAAGAACAAAAAATCTCCGTGGCAAGGAAATTTCAAGGGATGCTATGCATGCCGCGTCGTATGTGAGAGGGGGATGTGCTGGTCAAGGTTTGGGTCCTTTTCCGCCGAGGCCGCCGTGCGATCCCCAAAGGTCTTGAATTTGGGGTCTTTCTGGGCTGGTTCCCCCGCAAGAGCCTGTGAATGCTGCCTTTCGTGGCTAGTGTGGCCACAGTGCCACTTTAATTGTCAGCGGGCCTCGGCAATGGATGAATGACTTGACCTGCACAATGAAGGTCTGAGTAGCACTATTGTAGTAAGAATTTGTATAGAATATGTCGAACCCCAAAACAGCTAACTTTGTAGAGTAACGGAGTCGGACGACTATGGATCATCTCAAACAGACATAGAGTGGCGCTCACTTACTTAAACGTTAACCAGGGGTAGTAGTTGAAGGAGTAGTAGTTGACAGGTCTTGGCAAGTGTATGTAATTTCATATTCATGCATCATCATCATTCGTAATAGAATGTAAATTTCTCATATCCTGCGTGGCCAAGCCGTGCTCAATTTTCGAATTCAGGGTGTCTTCCTAGCGGATAGGTCCCAAGGCCAAGGGCCTCCCAATCCCACAAAGACGCAAAGTCATCGACATTAACTGCCTGATCTGCAAGGTCATCTGCCGCTTGCTCTTCCAGTATGAGCTGAAACCCATCGCTGAGAGTGACTGTTCCTCCCTGAGCTGTCGCCTCGTCGTAGCTCTCCATCGGCCAGGGCGACAGCGAATCGTCAATGGCGCCCAGGCTCGCTTCGGAGTTACTGAGAGAAGTATTCCCCCGCACGCTATCAATGGATCCCTGCCAGTCGTCTGATATGCTCTCTGGCGTCAAGTCATCTCGGTTCAGCTGTTCTGACGATGTCTCCGAGCCGACTCCTTCGACCAATGCAGGGCTAGGAGCGAGCCGGCCTGCCTCAACGATTGGTGCTGGCGATACCGCATTAATATTCACTTTTCGTCGCTTTTGCGCTTTGCGCACCGCATTAGGACGCTGCAGCTTGGAGACTAGCTGAGCCGCAGTATCGGAAGCAAACTTAGCAATGGAAGACGTGTGGGCAAGTCGAGCGAACAATGACACCGCATTGTCGAGTTCCTCGTAGATTTCGGCTTCTTTGGTCATACTGTTCTCCGCGTCTTTCATGATGCACGTGCATAAAAGTACAGCGGTATCAAAGGCCGAGCCGATCATGAAATGGTAGCCACCACCATGCCGGTCGACATGATCAGCCCAGAGAACCGCAACTCGCATGTTCTTCACGCAGTACCTAATACCATCGAAGCAGACACCTCGCTCTTCTTCCGACAAGGCAGAGGTGTACCCCTTGAGCATCACTGGTCGAAATGAGGCGAGAAGCAGAAAGTAAGCCATTGTGTACAGGTAAAACCGATTGAAGATGATCCAGGGATTTGCCGCATCCTTCAGCGTGTCTGGATTCTCAAAGGCGTAAACACGAGGGAAAGCTTTCGCCCAGGCTTCAACTGTGCTTTGGTACTGTCGTATTGTGCTCAATTCCATGTTAGTTTTGTCGTTTGGATACGTGGCAGCCAATTGTGAAATCAGCTGCGATTGTATCTTCATATGCAGCATGGGTGATGGTGAGAATGCTTCCATTGTCAGAGATGGGAGCACGACTTCTACAGCGGACCAATTGACGATAGTTGCGCGCGCCAGGCCAGCAGATATCTGCCTATCATAACATCAGCACTTGTGCGAGGTGAATGGGGTCAAGACGAAAGCCCACCAGTCTAGAATCTGGATGATGCACCACAGTCTTCGTCTCATCTCGCGTTCGAAGGAAGGCAGTTGATGAAAAGCAGCGTCCTTCTCTTTTACTGCAAAGCGTTCGGGATTAGTGTTTAATTTCTCCGACTAGAATCTGTACTCACCGAGTGTCTGGCATTCTCGGGCAGCGGCACTGAGTGCATGCCATGCCTCGGAGTATTTGCCTTGTGAAATGTACCAGTACGACGAGTGAAGCATGCTCTGACAGCTATGTAGATGGCTGTATCCAGGTGGCACCACGCTTCCCAGTTCTCGTGCAAGGCTGTGGTACTTTTCTGACAAACTCTCGATATCACCCATGTCTCGTTCAAGAACGGCCTTGAGAGATTGATCGGCATGCTGAATCGAGCAAGCGCAAACGGTAAAGAGCAGAGCAGTGAACTGGAGGGCAAGTGGTCTCTTTTCTTCCACTCTGGTCCACCAAACCTGATACTCGTCAAAGAATGCAGCTGGATACAGAATATAGAACTGGTTGTTGATGTCCTGGAAAAATATGCGAAGGAGCGAGTCTAAGACAATCAGATATGCACATTCAGTCACAGTCAGAAACCAGTACTAACCAACCCAGTGCCGCTTTGGAAATTCCTTTAGGGCACGCGCCAACGCAGGACATGGCGCAGCGTCTGTCCAGTACTGCTTGTCATCCGGCGCATCTTTCTAGCTTGGTTGTCAGTCTCAGTGGCCGCGCTGTAGGAGCTCCGGAAGCATGCCTTGTCTTCGAGGCCAAGGCCAGCGAGCAGGTCCGCCGTACTGTATCCCAAGCTGCCGGGCGGAAAGTCGGACGATATAACATTCTTATGAGCCTCGTCTGGACTGGCCTGCCGCTTGCGGCTGTCCAACGCCGTCGATGCCTCGGCCGGCGCATTCGCGGCGGGCAAGGAAAAACGGCACTTGTCCGCGACTTTGCGCTTCAAACAGTGATTGCACGGCCACTATCGATTGCACTGCACAGAACCATCGTTAGCACTGTGGTGTTTCAGCCGATTATTCTAGCCCACGGTGCAATACTGTGTGTGATATTGTGGTGACGCCGGGTCGCGTGCAGTTTCGAATTGCTCGTCTGGTGTCGTACATACCTTTTGCTTCCTGCGCTGGCACTCGCTGCAGGACAGCCGGTTCCGTGCAGCTCTCGAGGGAGTGCTATCCATTATTGTGGCGTTTTTGAGGAACGGCACGGCCTGTTGATAGGAGGTTAAAGAAACCTACCTAGCGTATCTGTTAGCCTGTCGTCAAGACCGTGCGGCAAAGTCGGAAATTTTCCGGGGCGGCCTCAAGGTTGTTTTAAAGTGATGGAACTACGGCGAGCAGCTAGTTGCGTAGCGTCTGCGCCAGTGACGATATGGTGTTCGAGTACTCCATAGATGTCTCAACAATGGCAACAAAGCACGGAAGCAACAGTTTGTCCTATCCTAGTCTCAGGCTTGGGGCTGGGCATTTTCGAGCGACAAAGATCTTGATGTGCCATTAATGATGCCAGTCGCGACATGCTCGAACGCTATTGGTAGCTGCGCCAGCCCTTGGAAACGGGAACCGTACGATCCAAGATAGGTGCGCAGGTGGCAGCCCCGGTGGTGATGGGCATCGGATGTGCGAATCGACGAGGTGCTGTTAGACGGCATATCATCCAACAAGGTGAGTGTGTCGGTGATGGCAAAGCTAGGTACGATGCTGCTCATTTCTTGGCCAGAGTCGTCAACTGCTGAAAACAGCGGGGCATGCAGCTGGCCAGGCCTGGCTGTTGCTGTCAGGTGCTCTACCCACGCAGGCGACCCCGCTGTGAGTCGCTATAACATCTGGGCAGCCCCATGTTTTAGCGCGTTCGCCTGACCCTAGCGCCACGCCGCCCATACAAAGCACAACTACAAACACCACCAGCCAGCAGCACCGACAGCTTCCAGCACCACTACTCCGTATTACCTTTGCCTTTGATACATCTCACACCAACGCCGCACCCCCTGTGCACTCGACGAGCTCCTACACTACCTCGAACTTTGCTTTTTGCTCATCCCTTTATTCACCATCCCTTCAGGAGCTTTTGTGCCGCCACCTTCCCCATCGTCGCCGTCCGGATCCTCTGTTTGTCGCGTCAACTGCTCGTTTGAAACGGACTCAGCGCAGCCATCATGGCCAGCGGCTGCTGAGATTGCCTATCATCATCAACTGCTTTCCTTTCTCTCTTTTATCTTGTGTTCGAAATTAAAAGTTCCGCTTCGCTACAATGAATGTTCGGCCGCCCATCGAGTCGTCAAGCCCAACGGCTGTGCTGTCAGTCTCTTTCAACAACGATGCCAGCTGTTTCGCCGTGGGCCTTGAATCAGGCATCTGTGGTAAGTGACTAACACCCATCCGCCGATTTTGTACCCATACTTACAGACGTAGTTTTTCACACAAAGTCATGTCTTTTAAAGGCATCAAGGGGTAATTGCTCCATCTTTTAGTGGCCTGGGCTGCAAGCTGATGACTTGTAGATTTCAATGCTGGTATTGGCCTGGTGCGCATGATGGGCATGACCAACTACTTGGCACTTGTCGGTGGCGGACGCTCTCCGAAATTTGCCATAAACAAGGTTTGTCATCATGATTCAACATATTATTTCAACTTTGCTCAGGGCTCATAATTCGGCTAGGCAATAATATGGGATGATGCCAAAGGCAAGACAGCACTCGAAATTGCCGCCCTCAGCTCCGTTCGAGGCGTCCAGCTTGGCCGTGAACGCATAGCAGTCGTGCTCCAGAGCAGTGTTCGCGTCTACTCTTTCACCAAGCCTCCCAACCTGCTGCATGTATACGAAACGGCGGACAATCTCGCCGGCCTGTGCTGCATGTCCGACAAGAAGCTTGCCTTTCCCGGCCGCACTGCCGGCCAGATCCAGCTCGTCGAGCTCGCCACCGGCAACGTCAGTATCATCCCAGCTCACTCCTCCGCTCTCAAGGCGATCCAGCTCAGCCCGGACGGCGAGCTCCTCGCCAGCGCCAGCGAGACGGGCACCCTAATTCGCGTATATTTGACTAGCAACTGCGCAAAGATCGCCGAGCTGCGTCGCGGCATTGACCCCGCCACCATTTACTCCCTGGCCTTCTCTCCGCCCGGCGACTACCTGGCCTGTACCTCGGACAAGTCCACGCTGCATATTTTTGACGTCCCTCACCCGCGACGTACAGGACCACATCGCAGCCAACAGCTCGGTGGCGGCAACGAGTCAGATCCTGGAAAATGGGGCATCTTGGGCAAGATCCCACTCATGCCTCGCGTCTTCTCAGATGTATACTCCTTTGCCTCTGCACCCTTTGAAGCCGGCGACGAGGGCATGATTGGTGGCATTTCCTTTTCCGAGGCCTCGACATTGGGGACCACGAGATTTTGCAAGGGCGTCATCGGTTGGACAAGCAATGACAGTCTCGTCGTCATCGGCGCCGGACAAGATGCTCGATGGGAAAAATTTTCCATCACCGAGGGAGAAGATGGGAAACGATATTGTACGAGAGAAGGTTGGAAACGATACCTTGGAAATACGTGATAAAGTACATATTCGAATGGCCTTGGAACTCTGGATATCAAAGATAGTTCTTTGCATTGGCGCAAATATAACATCGTATCGGGTATTCGTATTGCATTTGATGTTCACTCTTCGTTGCGTCTTGGAGAGCCGCTGCGTCTTCTCCGCCCGTGGCCTCTCTCTTCTTCGTGTTCTCTGCTTGCATGTCGCTTGTGCCGCCGTCCCTCGTCTCTTTCCCGATCGCGACGCCCTCTGTCCCGATCACGATTCCACTCCTTCTCTCTATCGTCTCTGCGCCGTGATTTATGTTCTCTCGAGTCCTCATCGCGCCTTTTACTCCTATGGTAGTCCTCGGCCGCATCGCGGTGCCTGTCGCTACGGTGGTCACTTTGATGACGATGGCGCCGCTCCGAATCATCATCGTCACGTTGAGATCGTCGTTTATCATCATTGTCATACCTCGACTGATGATGTCTGTGCGAGCGATGCTTGTGTCTTGACTCCTTCTTGTCGGCTCTCTCTCGTGCCTCTTCCACCTCCTTCTTCTTCTCTTCGATGAGAAACGCCTTCATCGGGTCATCATCATCATGTTCGTGTATCAGTTTCGCCAGGTCGCGTTCTTCCTGCAGCATCGGTCGTTGCGGCGCCTCGTCTTCGCTGCTCTCGTCGTCGGACACCGGCTTGCCTTCTTTGCGCTGAAGGTCCTCCCAACCAACTTTGAACTCGTCTTGGTCTTCGTCGTCGCGCATCGAGTACCGCGCATGGTCTACGCGCAAAAGACGCCCCCCAACTTCTGCGCCACCAAGGTTGTCCACGGCGAGATCGGTGCTCCTCTGATTTTCGTACTTAAGCCACCCAAAGCCCTTGGATTTGCCCGTTTCCTTGTCGCGTACGAGCTTTAAAAAGACCGGCTCGCCGAATTGTGAGAATATCGTAATAATATCGCCTTCCGAGAGCTCGTAAGGCAGGCCACCAAAGTAAACGTACGCCGTGTCCCGGTAATCGGTATGCCACGAGGCTTCGGGGGAGCTGCAGGCGTTGTCAGTGGTGCTTTGGTGGTTTGTTGGGGGCTTTATAACTCACATTCCATTTTCAATCTCTTTTTTGTTTAGTGCCTGAATTGCTCGTATTTGGTTCATCTTCCTGGTCCAGCCTCTTCAACTGTAGTTTTCAGGTTCAAGTTTGTTCGCAAACCAGGGAGCCCACTTTTCAGATCAAGCTCGTCTTGGCTCTCTGTCGGCGCGTCACACCCTGGCACTTGCGCGGGTCAATTTCCGGACCGAGCTAACGAAAGCTCCCTGAAATCCATAAACTGCAAGTCGCATGTTCGTTACGAGCGTTTAGAAATCACAGCCCAGCAACCTGGATCCTGAGGAGTCTGTTGAGCTGTACGAGTGCATTACGAATCTGAAAGCAGCAAACCCAGGCCAAGATGCGAGGCTTGCCGTCATAGGGGACCCCTGACAAGTATAGAACTCTGCGACGCAAACACATTTCGCCAACCCACGCGTTTTCGACCCCCTCCTTTTTGGGTTACCTTTGGTCGGCTTACATTTTCCTATCTTCGAGACGAAAACACTTGGCATTGTTGTCTGTAGCAATATGGCGGCGAAAATTGAGCGGGCGTCCACGTACACCGCTGGGTCTGGTGACGCCGATGCTCGCAATGGCGAGCCAAAGCGAAACCTGTGGACTTCGATGCTTGAATCGGTCGCCAGCGGCAAGCGCCTTCCTGAGAAGAACCTGTTGATACTGGGTAGGCTGCCTTTCCACGCCGCGCTCTGTCTACCACCCTAGAAGCTAACACAGCCCCAGGTGGCAGTACGGACGCGCAGAGAGAGTTTCTTGAATCGCTTTCGGCCGACGAAGAGGGTCGCAACTCGGAGCGGCAAAAGACTCCTCCAATCGCCAACAACTTTGCGCTGGGCTACACGTATTATGATGTGCTGGACACAGACCAAGACGGTTCGAGGATCTGATCATGGCAGGCTATCAGAGCAACGTCGCTAATGTTGACTAGATACCCTGGCTCGTGTGTCGCTTTACCTCCTTTCGCAACCCTCGGGCGAGTTTGCCTCGCTAGTCTCGCCACTTCTCACGCCAGAATCGATACCGAACACAGCCCTAGTCATACTGTTGGACTGGGCGCAACCTCATCTCTGGCTCAGACAGATCTGGAGCTGGATCCAGGTGTTAGAAGAAGTCATGGGTCACACAACTCCTGAGGCGCGCGCCGAAATGGAGGAGACAATGTCCTCTTGGAGAGAGCGCGGTCGTGGCGGCAGCTCAACGAACCTGGACGGTACTCCATCAGCGACAGCAGCAGACAGCGACGGCTCACTGCCTCTAGGACCTGGTGAATGGAGCGAACCCCTAGGTTTGCCCCTATGCGTTGTTTGTCAAAATGTCGGTCTATCTTATTTTACGCCTCCTGTGTACATTGCTTACTTTCTCTAGGCCCAGAAAATCGACTTCCTCGAAAGAAATCATGGCTGGAAAGAGCCCGATTTCGATACCGTACTCCAATATCTAAGAACTGTGCTGCTGCGTCGTACGTGTAAGAAATTCATTAAACTCTGGAGCAGGGCTAACATTCTCGTAGATGGCGGCTCACTTATTTACACAAGCCAAAACACACCTTCCCAACTACCATCCCTCATCCATTCAACGCTTGGCATCACGTCATTACTCAAGCGCCAACCGCTGAAGCATAACGTCATTGACAGAGACAAGATCGTCGTACCACCCAACTGGGATTCCTGGGGCAAGATTCGCGTACTGGGTGGCAATTTTGATACAGAGGTGGCCTCGAAAGGTTGGTCCGAAGATATCAAGCTGCCTCTGGGCTCAACCCTACAGAGTCTGGAAGCTCTCGAGCAGGCCAGGGCTGAGGCTGCAGAGACAGGCAAGTACGTGCAAGAAGATAGTGCGATCGCGCGCTACGAGGACTGGTGCCGCGATTCCAACAGCGGCGGCATGGCCGTCGTCGAAAGCGCCATGGGCGGCGCCGCCGCCGTCGGCGTCGACAGCGAAGACACGCAAGAGTTTCTCGAGAAGCAGCTCAAGATTCTCGAAGCGTTCAAGACCAAGCTGCCGGAAAAGACGCCCGATAACAACATCTCCACCGCCTCGCGACGGCCCGATTTCGCAGACGAAAAGAGCGTCAGCGAGCACATTGGTCCCGTGCAATTCAACATGGGTGGCATCCAGGTCGACGCCGACGATATGCTGCAACGGCTAAAGGTGGGTAATTGATGCGTAGATGCTGGCTATACTGGCTTGCTTGCATGGGGGACTAACACCTAGACCTCTTAGGACCGCAACGCCCATACTGCCTCTGACGACGAAGACGCCGCCGAGGAGCAAGTGCTGCCCGCCCCCACCATCACCAAGGAATACGACAATGAACAACTGCACGACTTTTTCAGCGGCCTTATGAACCGGACCGGCGGCGCGGCCGAGTCACCGCGGTAGAAAGACGCAGAGATTTGGGGAGGTCCGCGCCGGCCATCATCAAAGCAGAGGTAAACAAGTGTGAAGAATAAGTGCATAGCATGAAAAAGGACAAGGAAAATTGGAGCCCACAAATCTGAAGTAGCCTGGTAGAAGGACAAGGATTGACGTCGAGTGGCGCTGCCTCTGTAAATTAGATACCCTCAATATGAATATTACTTTTTTTGTCAAGTCACTCCTATATCACTATAACGGTTCAATATTGCATGAAAAGTAATGCGGTCTATTCTGCTGCAAAGTCAATTTCGTCAAAAAGGTCCCCTCGTCCCCAATCATTAGCCACTACGCCGTGCTCTCATCCAAATACAGTCTATTAGAGGTATTAGAAAAAGCAGAGATTGAGACTCAAAAAACCACATCAAACTCTACCAGAAATATAAAAGACAAGATTTTGAACCCATCCAGGCTAGCATTTGCCTGTTCCTTTGTAGTTTCATCGAATAAGACGCTCCCTACGCCTTCTCTCTCGTCGCCTTGTACTTGATCTCCTGGTTGCGCACCGTCGACACGCCAAGACGGGCCGTTACGACGCCGCCGAGCAGCCCAGGAAAGAGCCACGGGTGCTGAAGCATCTCAGCCTCAAAGGCGTTAATGCTGCTGCGCGCCATGCCGGTGAGCGTCTCGTCGTCGAGGAGATGGCCGAGTCTGTACAGATTGGCAACAGAAACGGCGTTTGTGGAGGGCAGGGACGTATCCATGCCGTCTTTGAGTCGCAGGATGGCAGAGCTCGAGCCGGCTTTGGTGGTGAAGAAACCGCCTGCAGGGTCGTAAAAGTACGAAGATTGAGCCTCTGTCTTTTGTGTTAGCGCGGGTTCCGGAAAAAGGAGTCAGGTCTATACAAACTAACTTTGTAGAGCATCAGCGAATTCAATCAATGATTCGTCGCCATTCGTGTCGAAAAGATCCAACAAGCCTTGAATGACATATGCGTAATCATCGGCAAATCCTTCCGTGTCCCGCTCTCCCGTCCAGACTCGGTATAGAATCTTTGCCTGAGCATCCCAGAGTTGCTTTTGAATGAAGGAGGCAATACCGCTAGCCACAGTAGCGCATTTGGCGCTGAGTTCGGGACTTGTTGTCTTCACTGCCCGTGACGTCTTGGCAAGAGCAGACAAGGCCAAGCCGTTCCATCCGGTGACAGCCTTATCATCGACCTCGGGCCGCACCCGCTCGCTCTCTCGTCTTGCCTTTAGTTCCTTCTGGGATGTGCGAATGGTCTGTTCAACCTTTTCGACGGGAATGTTCAGCTGTTTGCTGAGCTCTTCGGATGTCTTGACAACGCGCAAAATGTTCTGGTTCATGAAGTCTTCATTAGGATCGTGCTGCTCATCGATATTACCGTCCTCTAGAATGCCCCAGTGTGCAGCAACTACTGGACTGGCGCCCTTCTCAGCGGCTTCAATGACGCTGTCGAATTCTCTCTTGGTCCAGAGATAGAAAGCGCCCTCTTTCATCTCTCCGTCACCTTTGCGCGCGTAGGAGTCGGCGGCTTCGCTAGATGCGAGCAGCCCATCTGATCGCAGAATCGGAGTTGATGTCAAGTAAGTCGCAAGTTCCAATACGATGTTGTAGAACTCGCTCGTCGCTTGTCCGCCGGCGCGACGCCAGGCTGTAAGGTAAAGGGAAAGAAGCTGGGCATTGTCGACAACAAGCTTCTCGAAGTTTGGTATCGTCCAGTCTGGGGTAACAGAGCAGCGAGCGAATCCAGTATTTCCGACATGATCGTGCAGCGCTCCATCTCGAATCTTTCGTAGGGTATCAACTGCCATGTCTAAAGCATGAGTACATTCTGCCTCTCCCACAATATCCTGAACAGCGCTCGGTGAATCACGAAGACCAATGAGAAATTGCAACTTTGGCGGAGTAAGAAATTTGGGAGCCAGGCCGAAGCCGCCATATACGGGGTCAAAGGTGCCCGCAATGTGTGTGTAGGCCTCCTCTACTTGATCCAAATCAAGTTCGCTCGATACGGAAACATTCTTGACAGCTTCTTGTGTCTGCTCACTGTGCGCGGGCGCAGCCCAACCTGATGGCGCAATTGTTTGTGCTTGCGCAATCGCTCTCGTTCCTAGAGTACCTTCAGCCGCAAACTCTCTCAATTGAGCCAAAACTTCGGTCGCTTCCTTGCGACATCTTGCTTCTTGCTCCTTCCAAATATCGCGAACCTTTTTGACAATGGTCAGAAAGTCCAGAGCATCCTCAGCATTTTCATCGTGAGCGCGAGGTGCGGCATTGGGCCCTGGCCAATATGTGCCACCAAAAATCGGTTCGAGCTCTGGAGTGACGAAAAGGTTAAGTGGCCAACCTCCGACGCTGCTAACCGCCTGAACATAATTCATGTAGATTGTATCTAAATCGGGACGAGACTCTCTGTCAATGAGGACTGGAATGAAAGCATCGTTGAGTACGGCGGCGCATTCCGTATTTGCGAAGGACTCGGTGGACATGAGGCGGCAGTCTAGAGCCAATCATTAATACCTAGGAGAGATAGATGTTGATTTGGTATACTTACAGTGGCAGGCTTTGTATCCGATATGCAGGAACAATAGCTTGCCTTCACTTTTTGCACGTTCCACGGTCTCGTCGGCCAAAGGCTGCCACGCGACAGGGCTGGCCGCAAAGCTACGGACGAAAGGATTTGTACTTTCGCCCGCACGATTCTTCAAAGGAGCGGAGCCAGTTTCTTTAGACGTAAGGCTCTCCGATATGCGCATGGATTTCATAGCTGCAGCAGATGCTGTCAGCTCTGAGATAACCATGCTGCCAGGTGGACTTGGTCCTCGATATAGAAGGGCAGGTGTCAGAGTATGGCGTCCCGGTCTTGGGTACCGAGGCTCTTGATGCAAATCGCAGGTGTAAATGTTATTACAAGGCGATGCGCTTATATCGTCCGATTTCAGCCCGCAGTTACGGCGAATTTTGACACGGGAAATCTGTCGGCGCAAAGACGACGACAAAAGAGTTGGGAAGTCGCGGAATAATTGGAGCTTCCCCGCCGCCGCTTTCAGTTGCGGGCGCCATCGCGGGGCAGTCTGTCGGTATTACTGACTTGGTTAGGTAAGCAATGCCCGCCACCACGTGTACATAGGTACTACCTGCCGCTTCCGGCTCTTGCGGCTGTACCCTGCAGATACATTAAAGTTTCATAACTACATGCGCACGCTATAAATATTTTGTTTTGGGAACGCTGGCATGTTTAATCGAGTGGCTAGAGTGATAACTAACTTATTGTACAGATTTTGTCGCCATAGGCGCCCTTTGTATCCGATCGCTGAACCAGGATTCACCTGGCTTACACAGCAAGCCTGCCAGGACCAAATGCTGTGCTGGAATGAAGCACTGCTAACTCGTTTTTTCGAACTCTAGAGCTGATATAGTAAAAACGTTTCAATTCTCAATTTACATCAGAGTTACAGTATCAGTCAGTCAATACAGAGGTCGGGCTTATCCTCGAGACTTCTCATCGATCAACGAGACGCGGTAGCTATTCTACGCAGCTGACCGTCAACGGAGACTTATAAAATATTCAACAAAAGCCACGATCAGCACAGGCAAACAGCCCATTCTTTATTACGTCTTGGCTTTGTTGATTTCTTTTCACGGATCTCACTCGCATTATTATAGCCAGTACAAGCCCACCGGCAGACACACTACGAGTATGCCCGCTATACTCGCTCAAAGTTTCGAGTCAGCCACAGACGAAATTCTTGTAAATAAATCCTAAGAGATCAACAAAAATAAACAATCGAAATAATATAAATTTTAAGGTTTCACGCTATTTCGACGGTGCAATGGGTTGTCATGGTTATGGTCGTGTACTTGGTATATCATCACTGCCCCCACCACCAGAACCTTATGGGCTGTGGGCCTGACAGTGACATCCCGCTATCGATACTCAGCTTCTTCCTACGTAGCCGCAGCTGCGCCCGCTTCTAACATTCTTCATCTCTACAACCCTTTGTCCATCATGGATGAGCCCAAGTACACAATCTACGTACGGGTTCCTATACCGCGCGGAGACTTTGTCGACCCTCCGCAGGTAAGTCGCTTGCTCGATGGCTATACTTGTTGCATGCGTCCTAACTAGTCTGCCAGGTAGATTGGGACGCTGAGAAGGATGAAGCATTGTGGCGTATCCTGTCTAGCGCTGCGCAAAAAGAGATAGATTGTCAGTATATGCTTACTTTGTTCTATTTGGACTGGATATGCTGACTTGCCATCAGGGAATGACATGTAGGTCATTCAGCCTGCCCGCCAGTTCACGGCTAAGCTGACCCAACTTAGTGCAGCTAAATTCGATGTCACGGTCGACTGGCTCCTCAAACAGGTGGCATACCTCACGGAAAAACACGCCTCGCAAGTAAGGGCTCAGGTACGGAAAGCGGCTGCCGCGGCCAAGGGCTCGGCCGCACCGTCGCCAATTCCTGCCGCTGAGTCTTCCACGACCGCCGATCGACGATCCCAGCTCGGACAGCCCATCGGCCGCGATCCCTTGATACCACGCAACGAACCTACCGGCACAATTCGCCCTGCCATATCTCGTGGAGGATCGGGTAACACAGTCTCCCGCGATATTGGTAATTCCTCTTCGCGCCCGGAGAGCAAACAGTTACCATCACGCACCACAGAGGAAACTGCTGGTCGTCGTCGCCTGTCATCTCTACCTACCTCAGCATCGGGATCGAGACCAGCTGCAGTGCAGGAACCCAGCCGAGAAGAAGCCGTCTCCCCGGGACCTGCGGAGTCCTCTTCAGGAGAGTCATCTGAAGATGAGTCTAGTCCTGCACAGTCACGAATCATTCGACGGCCGCCGCGATACCAAGAAAACGATGCTTCCTATCAGGTTGACGATGACGGAGACGATGAATCTGAACCGGCATTTCAGCCGTACAAGTCTTCTGCGGACCAAAATTCAGCTTCGGATCTTGCTTCCACTTTGCGTGGAGACAGTCGTACATCAACCAAGCGTGGCAATAAGCATCTCGCTCGGGAGCGTATCCACCAGTCCCAAACATCTGATTCCTCTGCAGGATCCGGTGCTCCCGGCGCTGAGTCGAGTAAGCTGCGTCGGCCGAAATCTCACAATTCGAATCAGAAGCCTGCGCAGTCAGCGCTGAGTCCCTCCGGAAAGGGTAAACTCTCCTCTCAAGATGGCAGTGACGGGACGCCAAGCATGGGCAGTAGTTTTAGTGATCTTGACGGTAAGCCCTTTTGCTCGTGTTGACTTGACGCGACTCTAACAATAATGCATAGATGCTTCTGTCACACAATCTGCCTTGGAAGAAGCCCTGGCCTCACATATGCATGGTGCCGGCAGTCGCTTCAGTATAAGTCAGGCTTTCCGTAGCCGGTACTACACCGGAGGCTCCAACAAATGATGCTTTGAGCCAGTGACTCTATAATTTCAGCCTGGAGTTTCGGGATCAAGGGATGGCCATAATTTCATTATTGTTATTGTTTCATGCGTATACCAACAGATGTACGCTGCATGCCATTGCCATATTCGAGGACAGGCTGATTTGTTGCACCTGCCAGCCGTCGGGTAGCTGCACAGGCAAACGCCGCGCATCAAACGCGCGTTGCGCACTGTACAACCACAGATAAACAGATAATTTCTCTCGCACTCGGGTGTGCTTGTCCAAAATCATTTTTCCTCATTGCGAAACATCGCGGCTGAAATGTTTTGTCGTAAATGGTGCGGCCTTCCTCGCGAGGCATACTTTCCATCTGGACTGAAGGAGCTTGGGTAGGATTGCCTGACTACATGCGATTTTCAGACTTCTATAGTCTGTGCTAACCCTCTAAACAGCTATTTTGTCAACGACGAGGACGAAATTCGCTCCATCGCTGACCCAGACTACTACTTTAATTATTTCTTGAGCAGAAACCCCCGAGTGAACCTTCGTCAACGTTTCCAATTCGACGGTACGCAGGACATTCAGAGATTGAAATCTAGTGAACCGATTTTGACTGATGAATACCAGCTGCCGTTCAAGGTGTCATTCACGAACGACTCGAATCTCTCGGCCTTGTCAAAACCCCGCTTCCTCCTGTCGAGCCTGGATCAGAATCAAAATATGTCAACATCTTTGTTTCGAAGAACCTCGCAGATGCCGAGCGCATCACCATAGTATTTGGTGAATGTGCCAAGGAGCTCGGCAGCGTTGCTAACAGAGTCGTCGGCGGTCCAGGGGGCGTTGAGAAGGGAAGCATGATTGGCGCGGTCAAGGCTATGCAGCGCCACGGTTCTGCAGGCATCATCCTCGCCAATATGGGTGAGTCATACTGGTCCCAGGAACACAGACGGGCCATCACTGTAGGGCATAGTGCGGCTCTCACAATGCCCAGTCTGGTGCACATGGGCATCAAATATCATGCGGAAGTCAACGACATCCCAGGCTCCGAAAGCCCAGCATGTCATGTGCAGACTGTTTTAAACACCGTTATTACTAAAAACGCAAAAAAGAACGCGAAAATCAACATTGTTGCTATCGGAGACAGTTGCGAAGTCATAACTACCCTCCTGGACGATGAGAAGACCTGGACCAAATGGGGTCCATCACTTCAAAGCGCCGTATTCTACAGCCCTGCATTCTACAACGAGCCAAAGCAGGCAGGCTTGAGAAATTTCCTTGCAAAGGTAAGATGACGCAGATAGGATGCAATAAGCAATACGCTGACGTTGGTCCTGGGTAGAAATCAAGAGGCTACATGGTGTCTGACCAGCCCCAGGACACGCCCCTTTCCGGGCCGAATGGCAACGCGGCAGAGGGAACCCCCCCGCTTGGCTTTCCTTGCTATTCTTCTGGAGAGCCGAGCATTGTCGAGCTTTGCTTCATCAGCGCCCTAGAGCCGGGTCTCTCATACCTTGATGAGGTGGCGCGGACTCCAGACTTTGAGAACCCGACCCCTACCATTTTCGAGCGCGCCACGGCCGAGGTGGCGGAAAGTGCGTGGGATGCGCTCGCGCCAGAGCAGAAGCCGAATATTAGCACCATGGATGAGGAGAAACTGCAGCAGGAACTCAAGGTTTTGCGCAGCTGGAGGTACTTTGAGAAGCATGGGCGTGCGCCGGACAGTGACGAGGAGTCTGACATGGAGGATGAACAGGCCGGTAGTAGCCTGCCAGTTCCGCCGTGGGGCGAAGACCCATAGAGTGTGGCTTCATCAGCATGCTTCAGGCGGATTGTGTTGATAATCTTGCTTTTGAATTTCCTCAAGAGATTTTTATCCCCTCGTTGCAGAACCTCGTCATGGTATTAAGACATCAAGTAGAATTACAGTCTTGTCCTTGCAACGATCAAAGAACCAAGTGAATACAGTAAAATGTTCTTTTTGAAGCCCTTCTCCGTTGACCTAGGCCTTGAACCAGCTGGTGATGAAAGTACGCGGAGGAGTCACGTCCTCCATGATCTCCTTGGTGCGACGCACTCTCTCCAGCACCACCGCTTCCTCCGCCGCCCACCTCCCCTCGGGCTCCTTTGCGCCGCCCCAAAAAGAAAAGATGCCAGACTTGCCAGCGTCGGCACCGCTCGCCTCCTTGGCGCGCTCGGCCCTGGCTAGCCTCGACACCATGGTATGCCAGTTGTCGAGGCCGGCGCCGAGGCACTCGCGGCAAAGCTTCCTGGCGGCCTTGGCGCCGCCGACTCCGACTCCGACACCAAGCGAGCGCAGCTGCTCCTCGGCGAGATCCACACCATCGCGGGTCCATGAGAGGCCGTCGTCGCGGGACGAGGTAGCGTAGAGTATCTCACCAATGTATATTTGCAGCGAGGCCTCTTGGCACCGCTCCTCGGCGCTGCGCCAGGGCGGCTGCGTGCCGTCGGGCGGCGGCGGCGGGTAGGCCGGGGGCTTGAGCATGTTGAGGATCTGCTGGTGGACCGGCACGGCGCTGGACCGGCTGCTGCCGCGCAGCTCGCGGGGCCGTTGGTCGGAGAGCCTGCGGCGGGCCTTTAGCAGCGAAATGTAGACGGGCAGCGCGCCGGAAATGTCGCCGCTGCGGGCCTTGGAGTTGGCAATCGAAGTCAAGACATCGAGCAGATTGAGAGACGGAGATCCGGCCGTCTCCTTGAGCGCAAACGTTTTGACGTCGTATGGGAGCTTGGTCGCGTCGATGCCCTTTGTGGCTTCGCTCAGAGCCAGCTCTTGGAGGCTGCGTGCTGCTTCCGCTTGGCCCTTGAACTCCATGAAGCTCGCATACTCCAGGGCCGCCTCGAGGCGCTGTCTTTCGGTGAAGCCTTGTGTAGCCAGAATCTTCATGTACCATCTGTCGGCCGAGGGAAACGCGTTGACGCAGTTTTCTTCCAGGGGTGCGTGAGCCGCTCCGGGCGGGATCGGCACCGGGTTGGGATTCGACGGCCCAATCATGAATTTGGCGGGCGACACCATGTTGCGCGTAACGTCGAGGACCCAGCCGTCCACATGCTCCGCCGCCTTGGCCGCCGTCATCATAGCCTCAAAGTAGCCGCGTCGCCACTCCTCCGATTTGGCTGTGATGTCGTAGGGAACGAATTCAGCCGGGTCCTCAAGTTCGGGGTCCGTCACGTCGGAGAGGGCCATCAAGCCCGCGCCGTCCTTCTTGGGATCGCTCAGGCGCATCAACGCATTGCGCACTCGCCCGAGCGCACTGGCCCATTGGATGTTGCCGTCTCTGGGGTCCTCCAATTCCTTCGCGTCGCGGAGAAATTTCCTCGTCATGTACGTCCACTCGTGTGGAGTCGGATGATCGCGCTCGAGAATCTCCTCCTGGACGAAGAAGAGAATCACCAGTCCGGCGGCGAGCATGCCCCAGACGGTGATTGTGTATCGCGCTGCCAGCTTGACCTCATGCCTGATCCAGCTGCTGCGGGTCGAAGTAAAGTAGCGGACTGATATCGGACTTGATGATGGAGGGCTTAAGAAAGGGAGGCTCGGCCGTGCCTTTGTCGTCAATGGTTGTGATTGGGTTGTTAGGGACCTCGCGCATACGGCTCGTCTCGTCCTCAAGCAAGTGGTCGCTTTCGTCGGCAGTACAGGACGTCCGTTTTGCCGGACTGCAAGCCCTGGCCGCAGCATATTTGTAGACTTTTACTGCCTCATGTGCGTTCGAAAAGTGCTGTTATCATTCAAAATGCGCCTAGGCAAGTTGCTGTCTTCACGTATCGGTCGCCATGCATTTGCGCAGGAGATCTTGAAATGATGACTAAGCTCTTTTTTCTGCGTCGCTACTCGCTACCAAGGTACAAGCCAACGTCTACAATCTTGGATCTTGGATTCCTGATGTGCAGAAGAAAAAACGATATCAAAAGTTTGAAGAAGGCGGGATAATGCTTCGATAATGAGTGTATCTATTCCGGGGTTCTTTTCAACGCCTAGGGGGCAGCTTCTCGCCACGGCTGTCGTCTCTGGTACAGCTGTCGCCGCACTCATTCTTGGTTTTCAAGCCCTGGAAAGGGAAGAGCGTCTCTCCGCTTTAAAGAACTCGATTCCGTCAGTAACTGATGGAAAGCATCATATAAACAAGGTAAGACAAGGTCACGAGTTGTGTTGCAAAGTATCGAGGCAATCGCTCACACGGACTACATAGCTCAACAGCTTCGGAGCTTCAAATGAGACCACCGAGGATAAGGAGGATGCGCGAAATCTGGCTCTTGCGCAGCGCGCCCAGGCCGGCGACTTTGACGAAGAGCTTATTTTAGAACAGCTTGCCCGCAATCAAGTATTTCTCACACCAGAGGGACTGGACAAGCTACGCAAAGCCTTTGTGGTGGTGGTCGGATGTGGCGGCGTGGGATCTCACTGCACTGCTTCATTAGCCAGATCAGGCGTATCCAAGATACGCCTCATTGATTTTGACCAAGTTACTCTCTCCTCGCTCAATCGTCACTCCGTGGCGACGCTCGCAGACGTAGGCACGTCAAAGGTCCACTGTCTGCAGAGACGGCTGATGGCCATTACACCGTGGGTGCAGTTCGACCTGCGGCAACAAAAGTTTGACGGCGACGTGGCGACTGAACTTCTGGGGCCTTGGAAAGACGGACAGAAACCTGATTTCATTATCGACGCCATTGACAACATCGAAACCAAGGTCGCCCTGCTCAAGTACTGCCACGACAACAAGCTCCCTGTCATCAGCTCCATGGGCGCCGGCTGCAAAGCCGACCCTACCAAGATCATCATTGGCGATATTGGTAATAGTACCGACGATGGGCTGTCTCGAGCTACGCGAAGACGCCTCAAGCTCCTGGGCATCACAAAGGGCATCCCGGTAGTGTATTCTACCGAGCAGTCGGGCGAAGGCAAGGCAGAGCTGTTGCCACTCGACCAGACCGAATTTGAAAAGGGGTCCGTCGGCGATCTCGGCGTGATGCCCAACTTTCGCGTGCGTATCCTGCCCGTGTTGGGCACCATGCCCGCCATCTTTGGCATGACGGTCGCCAACCACGTCATCCTGAGCATCACGGGCTACCCGGTCGACTATGCGCCGGCCAAAGGCCGCGACAAGATGTATGACGGCATCGTCAACTACGTCCAGAGCACAGAAGAGAAGCTGGCGCGGCTATTCGCGCCCGACCTCGTCGGGCTGCGATCGCCCATCACGGTCGGCGACGTGGCCTTTTTGGCCGAGGAGCTGTATCACGCCCGCAGCATCATCACCGGTATCCCGACCCGCCTCGTGCTGATCCGTTGGCGGCGACCGGAGGCAATCAACGTGTCCGTCATCGGACAAGGCACCGCCGAGGAGCAAAAGTGCTCGACCATTCGACTGCGCGACCTTGTGTGCATGACAAGGGACGAGGCGGCCCGCCACGAAAAGCAAATATTCAAGGCTGGGGTACCGCTGGAGGATGTGTACGATGCCGAGACGATTGACAGGGTCGAAAGAAAGATGGCTCAGGCGGCGGAGTACGAAAAGTACCGGTGGTGAATGGGAAAGCCCCGCAAGGCAGTTGCCGATGGCAGCAAAGGCATGCCTCCTGCAAGGCGTGGGACGATTCTACAACGCCAGCATATCATGTACAAGAGTAGATTAGACCAAGGCTATCAGCAGATGGGCAATATGCGTCATCCCGCTGGTGCTCGATCAATTGAGACAACGATCTGTCAATCTGGTCATGACCTTGGAGCACGAGGTTGATCGCCGGGCTCGAGTCCTCTATCGAGATGGGCACGGGCAACAGGCTGTCCATTTCGCCAGTCGGAGACCGGTGAGTATCTGCGTTGATCCGTTACACCGCTGTTCGACGAGCGTAAGCACATGCAAGGTTAGCGAGCGGCCCCGTCGACCCGGCAGCTATTTTGCCGGATTTTGCCTTTTTTTTTTTTCCTCCCCTTCCCTTCTGGAATCGGTTTTCTGCAGAGTCCGTTCCGTGCCGCGGATCCAAGCTGCTTGCGCTCAAGAATTGTGCCACGGGTTACAATGTAGAAAGGGGGTGGCGAGGTTTTGCGCGTCGCAGCTCTATAAGTTGGCAAAATGGCTGGCTGTGCCGTGGCCTTGGCTTACAAGTGGCGCGACAACAGAAATTTTTTCACAGGGTTTGAACCTGCTTGGGCTCGGCTCAGCGGGCCAATGACAAAGGAAAAAAGGCCGGGCCACACAAAGAAGAACAAGATAATTCGCCGGCCACTACATGACCGTCTTTCATCAACGTTGTCTTTGATGTAGTGGGAGTCTCAAATATAGGAGGGTGTTACAGAGGCGGAAAAACAGGGCGTTAATTGTGACCTGCGTCACGCTGCCAGAGACTGAAGGCCGAGTAAATAGGACCTTGGTGTAGCTTGTGTAATTCCGCATTAGTCTTTGTAGGAATTTTATTGTGCGTATGATTTCTAAATTTTGATATAGCATCAGCAGATGCCAAGCCATATTCTTGTCAGCTGCGTTAGTAGTAACAACGGAGGCGAGTATTGGTGGCGAAGTGGCAAGGTCCATGTAATCATTCTCAAAATGACATAATATTTATTGTTGTTTCCCTTCTCAGTGCAATGCATTGTTCAAGTTGGACCCTTTGTTGCGTCAAAGAATATGGCAAGGTTTGGGCATTCCTGCCTATCGTGAATCGGGGTCGGGCACCCAGGTTGCCGCGCCGGTGCCGGTGTAACCAGGGCACTTGATTCCGTCAAATATGAGTCAATCGATGAATACGTTTTTATTCGTTTATAAAAATTCTGCTGCATGTGTGGCAAAGTTGGAGATATGTGCGGCTAGTCTGTAAGTGTTCCGCCATCTGCTCATCACGGCCTTATTGACTCAGGCAAAAACGAGACGGAATAGGCGGAAACGAAATTTTACCCAGTTCAGGGGACAAAGAAGACAATACCTAAAATGACTCGTCATTTCAGTGCCTGGGCTTTTTCGCATACCACTCTGTAGACACCAACTGCAATGTCTATTGTGTGGCTGTCGGTTCTCGACCGGAGATATTCACTACACCCTCCTTCTGACTCTGAGCAGGCAGATTAGGCAGATAGTATAGCCTCGTACAAGAAGATATGGTCTGCTTTAGGCAGCAGTGTCGTTGAATCGGCTGGCGGGGCGCTTATTGATGCCTTGAAATGGCATTGTTTTTCCGTACCAACAACGCCATGTGATCCTTATTGGTCTGCCACCTCGCCAGACATTTTGGTTGTACATAGATTACGCATGCATGTCTAATAGTTGGAGGCTGTGCTTCTCACGGCACACGACATGTCATGCTAAGCCAATTGATTGGATGTATTGCTCTTGGGCGGTTCGAGAAGACACCGGGGGGTGGTACGGTCACGGTAACACAGGCCCTGAGCCTTCTGAATGGACCACGACTAGTAGCATGGCAATGTCTTGTAGAATAGTAGTGATTTTAAAGTTAAAATAGTTGACTTGCCTCACAAGGCGTAATGGGGAGACTCAAACTTGTTGCCTTCACGGTTGTAAGTGGTAATTGGTTCACTGCTTGCCATGTAAGCCACGTCGCCAACAAGCTGCCTGGAGACAGAACTTTTGATACAAATACGTTTACAAGGCCACGTTAGTCATATTTTGACTACTTGATGAGGCCACGAGTGCTAAAAAAAAAAGGCAGACGCAAGCCCGAAGTAGCTCTCGAGGCGCGCGGTACTGTCATGTTTGAGCTCGACGAGTACACGATACAGAAGTCACGTAGACTGGATGAAATCGATAAAGAAACATTGAATGTTTATATGCTACGTATATAATAATGAGGCGCCTTGTTACACAATACTGCTGTGTACCACTATATGCTGTGTACCTTGACTGTCTTGATCAGTACTGTCGTGTACTGTTCGGTCCAGATGCCACGAACGGGATTAAATCTTGGTAAATGCGCAGCAGGAACATGCAGGACCAATGACAACATAACACATGTAGTTTGAAGGCAGCAATGTGACTGACTCGCCTTGGATCGGTTCTGCGCAGCGAATGTCATAGGGCATGACCCTGACACGGTCTCTTTTTGCCAGCCTCGCCCGCCTGGCCTGATTCTGCGCTTCGGCCCCGGACGTAGAATGTCGATAGGATATTAATGTATCTGTTATACAGACTACGAGTAATATAGAGCAATATAGAGTATGGTTTCGCGTAGACACTACATCAGGATTGACCATTTGCGTGCCAATTTGCAGCCCCCCGCTCAGCCCTTATGCCGTTTGCCCGTGTGCCCGTGTGACATGCCTGCTGAGGTTTTACCGAAAGCTGACGCTCGCATTACTGATACACCCCTTTCTTTTCTGGAGAGGACACATTCTTTTTGCACGCCTCATAATGAAAATCGTGTGGCTGGGATGAGCCTTTTGGTACCAAGGGGGGGGGCACGGGATCTTGTCTTATAACGTTAGACTGACACCAGTTTGGCTGGCAAAAAAAGGATGTTGCCCGTTGAACATCACGCGCAATTGCGCAGTCGTGATTTGCAGACTTACATCTTGATTGAGGAAGGGCCTACTAGTATCTGCTGCCTACGGTGGCCCCCTGTCTGCGACTTGATCTTTGCTAGTTTTGCTTCGAGGACGGCGGTGCTGGGACGCGAGTGCACCGGGCCGGCGGACAGGGACGGGGGGGGGGGGTATGCAGGCTATTACAGGCAGAACGGAAAGGAGACAAGAGATAACATTATTTGATTGGTATGAAACTGCGTGATATTGGACGACTTGCAGTGAGTGTGTGGCGCGCGTTTGGAAAAGGATCGAATGAATGCATATTCTTGCCCTTTTATCAGTTAGTGGGTGTCCTGGTAGGGAGTAGGTAGCTTGGGCAAGCTCGTCGGTCCTCTACTTGGCACATCCAAGTAACATCACAATCGTTGAGGATGGGCTTATCCCTCAAACCGCAGCAGCCTGATGCCAAGTGTACACGATTCCGCGAGGGGTAAATAGTGCTCGTATCTACGTATGTATCTACGTATGTATCTACAGGTTGTGCGGGGTTTGGTGCATTTATAGATACAAGTATCATTCTGACATGGGGAGGTGGGTAGGACGAGCTGCGGAAGACACCCCCAAAGAGCGTGCTCCATCAGGATGAAGGTGCGTGCATTTGTTTTCGGTTGTAGGTTTTGCTGTCATTGTTTTGAACAAGAAGAAGAAGAAGGCAACCAAGGCAACATCAACTTGTCTCTTGAGAGGCAAGGTGTTGATGATTTTTTATGATGGACGGATATAAAAAGCTGAGTCGACTCCCACTTGAGACGATCTTGAAGGCAGTAGATGCGCTCTACTTTATCTCTCTCTCGTCATAACTGTGTTTCTCTTCTCTTTTACTGCACAAGTTAAAATTATCGATGAATTTTGGGGGAATTTTCTTTTGACAGTGATTTACTTGAGAAGCTCCGGAAATCGTCGACAGGGCGTCTTGGAGACTATTTTGCAACGAGGAAAAGCGACACGAGTATTGTCGAGGCATGCGTTTTACAAGCTTGCTATTTTGTAAGTTGGAAAAAAAAACATCTTTTTGGATACAAAACTGGTCTTGAATTATTTTTTTCCCATCGAAATCAGAGCATCATGGCAAGTTCCGGATGAGAGCCAGACCCTGTGTGGAAATACTACACGAGTTAGCGTGTGCCTTTGCGAACCACGGAGGGGTTCGCATCGTGTCGTTTTACATGACAAAGGGGAGTGTGTGAGAGGTTTACTTATAGTGGCAAGTGCCCCTGTGCCTGCATCGCTGCACCAAATTGCCTGGAGTTACTGGGCAGCGTGTACTGTACCTGGCCGCCCCAGCGGGCCAGCGCCCTGTGGCTGCCTGCACCTGCGCGACGACTGCTGCGCCTCAGGTCACCGCTCGCTCGGTACCAGCCGCCCCGGCACATTTACGTTGTGATTCTTTGCAACACGGATACCGATATGCTAATTTCTTTCAAGAGCCATTGTTCTTGCCATTTCGATTATCACCAAGTCATTTGCTCCGGTCCGATTGCCTTTTTGGTTCGCAACACCCACCATTGCTTAGCTGACACGTTTTCGCCTGTTCAGCTACCATCTTAAGTTAGCGAGGGACCTAGCCTGTCGGACCAAACATCCCACGCAGCTCCCTCGGTCCAACGAACCGATACCGTGGTTGCCCCTTGCAGCCGTAGTAAAGGCAAGTACAAGGTCATTTCTTTACTTTAAATCATATACACATACATTCTTTTGTGCAACCCATCAAGTGGTGGGCTGGCGGGCTGGCGTCGCAGTGTTGGCCTTGATATCTGTGATTCGGTCGTCAACCGGAGGGGTAGCCTGCAGCGGCCACATTACAACATGGCCGACCGCTACCTACCTAGACACCTACCTACCCACAGGGGCTTGACCTGCATTACTACAGGCCGAACCCCCCTCCGTAGCGCCTGCCTTACCTTAGTACCTAGGTACCCACCTACAACCACACCCACCACACCCCCTCCCCCCCTGTGTTTACAGTGCTCAACCGTCTGTCCACCTGATTGGCCGCCCTGGTGACCGAAAAGGGCCGCCGCTCTAAGCCCTTTTCTTATGGCCCTCGAGCCATCTCACGCCTCTCCCAGCCCGCAAATACCTGCCTACACAACACGTTCGTTCAGTCACACCCCTCCATCCACCATCGCCAACTCTTCGCATCACGCTACAAGGCGTTTGTGTCCGTATACACAAGACGCCTTTCTTCCCATCATCGTCAATCGAATGCCAGCTATCTCTTGTGCCAAATAGCAATCCATTGACCGCCTCGTCTGCAGGTACATCTACCCTCTGCGCCCCTCACCCTCCTGCTTCGGCATCCCCAGCAGCTTCGAATCTTCTCTTCTCTGACTGGCCCACGCTGCCGTCTTCCCATACGTCGACTTGTTGCGGCGTCAAGATCCAATATCAGCCTCGTGCCTGTCGTCTTTTTCAACCAATCTGGCCATCGCAACCGCGCGTTGCTTCTAGCCCATGGTACGTATGCGCCCACTTCTTTTATATTCGAGTTTCCTCTGTACACGTTCTTCTCGTGCTTTCTTGCATCTCTTTTGCACTGCACTCTTCTTTTGCCCGCCTCTTTCTTGACGAGTTTCACGATTCTTTCAACTCCGTGTCCTCTTCCCGTTCCTCCGACTTCTCATGTCCTTCTCGACTCTGTGGCCGCCTTGGCGTCTTCGTGTCCACCTGCAGCGTGATGCTGCCCGTGAGGAATGCCAGATGCCGTTGAATGCTGGCTGCCTGCTTACTAGCCCGGGATGCGCAATCAGCATGCTAGTTGGCTGCAGTGGGCGCAGTGGCACTTGCCCGTCTTGTCGTAGTGCGAGTTGAACAACCGTCTATACTCTGTGGCGCAAACTCACCAAGACGACAGTGCTCGCTCCATTCGTCTTTTCTTGGTGGTCTGGCTTTTCACAACAGCCAAAACTGCGACGACAAAGACATTCATTGGCGCAATACGCGATCAACTATTTTATCTTGATTGATCCTCAGTTCTTTGATTTTTCTGCTTTTTTCTTTGCTCATTACTCATTGCTCATTGCTCATTGCCACACCAGGTTACATGATATGCTGACTCGCCTTCAGCGTTACGGGGAATTTGGTCCTACGCCGCAATAAGCAGCACCAGTCGCTGATTGGGCAACAACCTTTTGCGCATTTATTCGCTCTCAGCTTTGCATCATCTCACCTCTCGATATTTTGACATCGACTACACTTTTGCCCGCGCACTTCCGCGCCACTGACTTACTCTCCGGTCAATCCGCAAACACGTAGGCTTGCCACTCCCGCCCCGGTCGAGCGGAGTTCGACGTCCTCGCCTTTCCCTTCTCAGCCTGTCCAGCCCTTGCATGGCACATGCCGTGAGCTGGTCATGGCTGAATTGCAAAATCGCTGGGTAAATCACCTTCGCAACAACGCTCGTCAGGAGCCCTCGGAGCGCAATCTCCGCTGTCTTGTCTGCGCCGAGGACATTCTGCCCGATATTGACGCTTTTCGCGCCCATATCCGTGCCGACGAACCAAAGCACTCGACACTCACTGGAGACGCCGACATTGTAGAGGCGTTTCGGAAAATGTCCATCCATCCCGCTAAGCAGAGGTCGGTTCATTTCCCTTTGCCATTCTGTCAACGCGTTACTTACATCTTTAGAACCGAAAGCACTTCGTCAAAGTCTGGAGTTCCAAACTCAACAAGGAGCCCACCAATGAAGCCAAGCCTGAGACACTTGGACGACAAGGACGGCACCAATAGTCGGAAAGTCGAACAACCAATGACGACTGACCAGCCCGAACCTTCTACCCCTTCATCCAAGCCCAACAAGGCACGTTCGCCACCCTCATCTCCGGTCCCGGCCGTATCACCCCTCACTACACCTAGCCGTTCTCATCGCCGTAACGGCATTTCCGCTGATTTTGATCGCGGCGACGCAGCCAAACACTTCACCAGTCGTCAACTCTGGAATCCAGATGAGCCCAAGAGTCGCGGGACCCGCGTCAGGACCTCAGCACAGAAGCGATTCAGGCATCACAACCGCCCGTCGCCAAAGAACGCGTCCACAGTTTTCGAAGTACACCCTGTCGACATGTCTGCTACTCCGGGCTTCACTCTATTCCGCCAACCCGAGACGAAGCCCATCTCGCAAGAACAGCTAACTAGGGAGGTCAAAGACATTTATTCGGGCCTGACGCTAGTTGAACATAAATGCATCGAACTTAGCGTCACTCCGAAAACGAGGATCCCAGAAGAACAAGAGTTGAATGCACTGCAATATCAGAAATTGATTGGCCTACATCGGACATTGCTACACGAACACCACGATTTCTTCCTCGCCACGCAACATCCGGTAGCTAGCGCAGCACTACGCCGCCTTCCCCTCAAGTACAGCATGCTTGCGCGGATGTGGCGTCACGGCATACAATCATTTCTCGAACTACTCCGCAAAAGATTACCCGGGTCGCGCGAGCACATGCTCACATTCATATACATTGCATACAGCACCATGACACTCCTTTACGAAACCGTTCCTTTTTTCGTCGCAACTTGGATTGAATGCCTTGGAGATCTCAGCAGATACCGTATGGCTATCGAAGACGATGATATACGGGATCGTGAAATTTGGACTTCGGTATCTCGAAACTGGTATTCTAAAGCTTCGGACCGTTCTCCAGAGGTTGGGCGGCTGTACCATCACCTGGCTATCCTCGCTAGACCTGATCCTTTGCAACAGTTGTATTACTACGGCAAAGCACTAAGCGTTCCGGTCCCCTTCCCGAGCGCTGGTGATAGCATAATGACGCTCTTTAATCCAGTCCTGGAAAGGTCCAGTCGCTTGGATCGATGCGACGAGGTGTTTATCAGAGTTCATGCTATCCTGTTTTCTGGACGTAACCGCGATCAACTTGAGGACGCTAAAGTGGAATTCCTTGATATTCTCGACAGGAGTATCGCAGAGAGGAAAAAAGAATGGCTCCGTTCAGGGTGCGTACTCACTTTGCTTAACACTTTTCCATTTGGCTAACTTGATGCGCTACAGGACCTACATTGCTATTTCCCTCATTTGCTCACTTTTCGGTTATGGCGCTAATACTAACCCTCTTAAGCTATCACTCCCAGATAGTGTCTGCGATGTGAGCGCTGCACCAAGTGGTAGCAGTGCAGCGAAAGCAAAGAATGTCATTGACGAGGAAACTGCCTCGAGAAATTTTGACTTTGCGGCATCATTCGCCATGCAGACATGCAATATTGTCTTCCGGCGCAAAGCAGACATCAACGTTCTTCCTTTCCTCCATATCATGATGCTCTTTCTACATTATGTGGCTCAGCATGACAAAGCTATGTCACTCATTCAGGATCAAGTCCCTTGGAGACGGATAGTCGACGTGCTCAACGAAGCTCGCCCTGCGTTGTTATCAAAGCCGAGGATGGCGAATAAAAGCTTCCCGCGACCGCCTCCCAACGAGCCTTTGCGCCCACTATCAGAGGACTATGCTTTGCGTGGGCTGGGACTCTCGAAAGACTACTTTCCCGATGATTGGTTCTCTAGCGATAAACTCGAAGAAGATGAAAAGATGTTTGAGCCACCCTCTCTTGGAGATGAGCGACGCCAACGGATTCTCTGGCTTGGACGCCAGATGTGCAACCTGGGAATATGGTTGGAATGGGAGGAAAGCTCAAAGCGGTTTATTGTCAATTCTTCATACGACAGAAACATTGGTCTGCCTGTGGAGAGTTGATTGTTACCATGCAGGTTCACCACGCAACGACCGTAGACGGAGACGAAAAGATTCAAGTGCGGCATGTGTGCAGCAACTTGATTGATGGAATGAATGTCTTGATTGGTATTTACCATTGAAGCCACGGCTCATTGGTTTTGAGTAAACCGGTGCGGTCTGTTGAAGAAGATGTTGGAAAGCCAAGTCAAAACGAGCGCTCTGGGGGAGACGTAGCTTGCAAGTTGGATAGCAAGTGTGAGAATGTCGAAACCAGAGCTTCGTGAAGATTGAGCTAAGCTAAGCATATTATGCTTGAAATGGCTGCCAGGAACAACCCCTTTCTAATTAGGGAAAGCTGGTCTCACTAATCCACGGCGTCATCTAGGGAAGCAGATGAGGAGATTGTATAATAACGCACGACAAGGCTGTTGTGCATCTGATGCAATTTGTAGGTGTTGAGGATAGATAAATACGATAGGTAGCAAGCAGTTTAGAGCGGGCAAAGATTGAGTAAACGAATATAAAAACGTCTTTAATGCCACCTCTTCTGAAAGCCCGGCAGAATGTCTCGTAATCCCCTCGACTGTTGATATTTGCAAGGTACTCGAATGTCCGAACTTTTTTTTTTTTCTTTTTCTCAAAACGGACCCCTGCAGTCAACTGCCGGGATATGGATCTCGATCTTGCAAAAAGTCGGACAGTTATCTCCACTTGAGCCAAAGCCATCCATGTTGATGTTGAGGGAAGGCAACCGTGACCGGGACACTGCTGCCTGAAGCAAAGCCCACTGGTCTACTAGTAATACGGAGGCTATATACGCGATGGAAGGAACTATCGCCATTCACGGCAAGGCTCTTGGTTTGACAAAAGACGGTCAGGGTCGTCTTGAATTTGCTACGTGTACCCCTCCCCTCCTTGCCCCCCCCTCCACCAATTTGACTAGCGCAAGGCAACCAACCACCCCATTCATCTATCTGCCTTTTTGGACAGTCGTTCGCCGTCCTCCGGCTATTTGCAGTCAGCCCGCATACATTCAATGGCAACACAATTGTGTGCCGCCAAGCAGCCTTTTAATTTTTTTTTTTTTTCGGTAATGACGCAAGCAAAGAGCCTCGGACGTCTGAGCTGCAGAGTTTTGACCTATTTCGGGCCGCATATCCCTCGCACATTCTTAATTTGGGGCAGGACTTGCATAGAATTCCCATGTGCCGTTTGCAGCTTCATCAATGACGGACCGCCACGTTTTGCACGTAGGCGCAGCTACTGCTAAGTTAGCCGCTTCCCCTCCCCTCCCCCCCCCCCGCCTCCTCCTCCTTTGTCCCTCGTGGCTTAATTGTATATATTATTTGTGCAAAACGAGGGGGTTTAGGTTAAAAAAAAACACAGACTCCTTAGGCATTCATCGGCCCAAAGGGCTGAGAAGCGTGGGGGGGGAAACAGAGCGGGAACGGAATCACCCGCTTTGCTTTCATGAACTGCATGTTTGAGACTTGCGGCAACCGATGGCGGCTAACAAGGGAAACTGAGCTTACGAAAAACACATAAAGAATCGAGAGTGAAAAAGTGAGGCGCGTCCTTTTTTTTTTTTTTTTTTTTTTTTTTGCTATTTTTTTTTCTTCTTCTCCCCCCGCACTTTCAAGTGAACGTCCCCGCGTTTCGCCCACCTCACCACCTACCTACATGGACGGCTTCAGCCAAAACAGACCCGAAATCAACATAACTATTACAGCCTGATTAACATGCTGTAGCCTGACTTGCAAATCCTTTTTTTTTTTGGGCCACCTGCGTCATTTACAGACATGCGGCCCCATCTGCTGAGACCCCGTAGCCCGGACGACAGCTCAGCTTGCATATTGCATCTTTGCATATTGCATGAGCTTGACGGCGCGCTCATGTCTATTAACAAAAACCCGATGAGATCCGGCACAAAGTTGCTACCCAACCATGTCCATACGCGCTGGGCTTCGCGGAACAGGACGGGAGAGAAAGGATGCCGAAACTGCCGCCAGTAATAAGCCATACTCACACACACACATACACACACATACACACACTTACATACACTTTTGAAAGCGAAGACGGGAAGTAACACTGCATCATGTCACTTGTCACTTGCGTCATGCCGACCTTGTGCGTCTGCCTTGTTCCGTTTGCGCCCAGTCGACGAGTTCCCACTTGATCCGAGCTGCCGCCGTTAATAAACGACGGGAAGAAAGAAAGTGACTTGCCCCCTCCCCCCGCCCCCTCTGGTTTTCTTGAGTATTGAGCACAAGCATATGTTTTGCGTCACATGATGGCTGCCTTTCTATTTTTTTTTTTGTCGTCATCAATTCCCAATCAAGCCCGGCCCCCCCAAACGCGAACCATTTCTCTTATTTCTGACCCGGTCGCCTGGCTGGTCGTCACTTGGCGCCCGCACATTCATGCGCTTGCCAACTCCAATAATAGAAGGGAAAAAAAAGAAAGAAAAAAGTTCCCTAGCTAGGCGGCCACGAGAGAGAGAGGGGGTGGTGCCATCATGCAAGATTCGGCAGCGTGCCGTCTTGCATTGAAAAACGTTTCCGTCTGCGCCTCGTGCGGTCCGCAGAACGCAACCAAGGCAAGGCAATATTTTAGCTCAGGCAGCAACGCATGGGCAGGCTGCGGTTCCACAGCACAGCAAATAAGTCTTCTACTAGTATTGGGAGCGTATGTTGATCCTGCGTGTGTTGGTGTGAACACAGTTGTGAATAAATGCCGTCAACAAGAGTCGTCGCATATACATGGCGTGGAGCGTGTGGCAGGCAGTTAGTTGTCTAGGTAGGCGTGGGAATTGCTGCTGGGCCTGTCTGTCATGGCCAGAGTAAAGCGGCACTGACATGGCGTGTTCCTATCGCAATGTTGGGAGACCATGGCGGCAAGAAAGAAGGTCAAATCTCGAAAACATGAAGAGTAACGTGTGAATCCATACAAAGAGGCGTGTTTTTAATTAAAAAGAGGACCTACAGCTGTCATGACTGCTGCAGGCATTCGGTGCATTAGTTGGAGTGGAACACTTACTCGACGCTGACATTCCATTCGGCGTTCTAGAAGATTACCTTATTCACTCACACACGTAATGAACGCTCTAGCAGCAGCCACAGACTCGGACCCGCTGTGGCGGTGCCGCATGTGGCTGATGCAATCTCAACCCGCGTATTTTCAGGGCCAGAAAAATCTCCCAAGGATCCGTCGTACGGCACGACAGGAGAAACCTCGATTCGCTCAGCAACTAGCTCACCACCCGTCCGCGTCGCCCAATTGCCCTGCCCAAGCTGTCACTCAACAGCACACACCAGCCGCCATGAGCGTTGCACGGCCAGCGCGCAGTGCTCTCTGCACGCGCCGCATCGCCCCGGCGAACGCAGCACCCACCGTCGCCGTCGCCGTTGCCATCGCCACGACCACAACCACGACCACGACCTCCCGCCGAACATTTCACAGCTCCGCCGCCGTCCGCGCCAAGAAGCGGCCGGCGCGGTTCCAAAACGTAAAAGCCGAGGAGCTCGGGCTGATGAAGCCCGCCAAGATGGCGCAGTTTCAGAAGGTGTACATGCCCCCGTACACCGAGGAGCAGCTGGAGCGGCTGCGGAGCAAGTACACGCCCGCGCAGGTCGAGGCCATACAGGCCGGCGAGGCGGCCATTGACACCAAGGACATGCTCATTCAGGGCCGCATACGCGACGACCCTTACCGGCCGACATATGTCGAGGACTACACGACGCTGGACCCGCGGTACGACGTGCTGCCCGAGGCGGCCGAGGGCGAAAGGGCTGCTCAGCCGCGCGAGCACAAGTGGCTCGATGAGCAGGACTGGATGGACCAGTTTTCGAAGCGGCTGTCGGAGCTGGCGGACCGCAAGACGGACACGCAGTTGACGCAGGCCATGGCGCGCGCGCTGCGCAGGGTCAAGGACGCGCAGGGCGCCGACATGATTGACCTCACCGAGGAGGAGCTCGTCGAGCTCGAAAAGAACCCCGACATGCTGCAAAAGTACCTCGTCGCCGACGATGCCGATGCCGACGCCGCAGCAGCAGCAGAGTCCTCCGCAGACGGGGCCAACAAAAAGAAGTCTGAGGCGCAGCTCACCGAGGCGCAGGTGCAGAAGCTCGACGAGGCCATCGAGGCCGAGTGGAAGCTGGAGCTGCAGAAGCTCGTCGAAGAATCCGGCGCCGACGCAGGCCCCTCGAGCATCGAGATGATTGAGGACGGCCCTGCGGGGCTCACGCGCGCCGAGACGGCCGAAGCGCCCGAGCTTGGCCCCGTGCCCGGTGTCGCGGGCCGCTACAACCGCGGCGCGGACCCCGAGGACGCGGGCCAGGACGAGCTCGGCGAGTACCGCGAGATCAAGCGCGTGACCGGCCTGCGCCTCGCCGAGATCAAGTCCCTCTACTGCAAGATTCTCGTCCTCCGCTACGTCAGCAACCAGACGCGTCTCGGCAAGATTCGCTCCGCCAGCATCGTCGCCATTGCCGGCAACGGCGCCGGCCGTCTCGGCCTCGGCGTCGCAAAGAGTACGGACAATGCGACGGCCGTGGTCACGGCGCAGATGCTCGCTATTCGCAACATGAAGGCTGTGCGCCGCTACGAGAATCGCACCATTTACGGCAACGCGACGGCCAAGGTGGGCGCCACCGTTGTCGAGCTCTACAACCGACCTCCAGGTAAGAATTTACTTACACACACACACACACACACACACATACACATATCGCCTTTCCCCCCTGCCCCCAAATCCTTTCTTCTTTACCCTTACCATTGCTCATTGTGCCCCCTCCCCCGGTCTAACAACAAAAATAGGCTTCGGTCTCCGCGTCCCTCATCGCCTGTTTGAAATGTGCCGCGCCGTCGGCCTCCACGATCTCGCCGCCCGCATGCCCCGCGCCAAGAACCCCATGAACTCCGTCTTTGCCACCTACCAGGCCCTCATGAACCAGGCCGACCCCGAGGAGATTGCTCGCGGCCGCGGCAAGAAGCTCGCCGATGCCCGCAAGGTCTACTACGGCGGCTCTGTACATTAAAAATCCGACTTTTTGTCTGCCCCGCCGTCAAAAAAGAAAGAAAGATAGAAGCAAAGAAGCAAAAGGCGGAAAAAGGGTTGCATTTGTTCTGGACAAGGACAAACAGATGTCTCGTTTGATAGACGTGAGACTTTGTCCTTTTGTATCATCTAGCCATTTCATCATTTTTTTCACTCTTAAAGTCAACTTTTTCTATAAAAGGCTCGACTATGTATTCCAACCTTGTACAATGCATCTACACGAAAAAAAATCAACCTACACAATGGGATTACTTTTCTCTCGTCAAATCATCATGTAGATTTTGCGTGACCTGTACAAAAAATTACAACAACTCCATGCCAACTCCACCCCGGGGTATCAAAAGAAAAAAGTCCAAAAAAAAGTCCAAAAAAGTCGAAAATGCAAAACACCTCGTTTCGTTTGTTCATCCTTAATCCTCATAGTCACTCCCCATTGCACTCGACGTCGCCGCCGCCTGTCCCTGTCCCTGTCCTCCCTGCCCTCCCTGCCCAGCCTCCCCCGCGGCGCCCCAATCAATCTCCTGCTGCAAGACGATGCTGTACACGCTCGCCTTGAGTAGCGTGAACGCCAAGCTCGTCTGGCGCTCGAGGTCGCGCAGGCCATCGAGGATATCGGTCGTCGGGTTAGACGCGAGCTCGTCGAGCAGCGTGGCGAGCTAGTTCCACCATGACGAAAACGCGTCAGCAAAAAAAAACCGAATATATATATTATATTTTCATCATTGAAAAGAACGATGCGGAAAGGTGTCTGGCCAGTTTTTTTTTTTTTTTTTTTTTTTTTGTAGAATGGGCATGGAACGCGCATAGGCGCGTCGCGGGTGGGAATGGGGGGAGGAGGAAAAGAGTTGCTGCATCTTGCTCTTCGCGAGGGAGGGGAAGCTGCTTTACCTGCTTCATGTTGTTTGCCAATCGCTCGTATTCATCCAGCACCTCTTGCTCGAGAGGTGAGAGGTCAGGCGTCGATAGGTAATTTTCCTCTGCCATGGCTGTTCGGCTTGTGGTAATGGAATGTTCGTTGATGGAGAGAAAATGGCGGGGCAGCGCGCTTCACCCACCCATAGGTAGGTACCTCGTTTCATTAAGCTGGTAACTGCCACCTCCACCATATCCCAAAAGACACATCACGACGTAAAAAAAGCCACGCATTTTATTTTATTTTATTTTTCAGAATTAATTGATATAGACCAAAGTAGTATTCATAAAGATTTCACATTCCCACGTGTAGATACATTATACACTTGCTAAGAAAAAAAAAAACCTCTGCTGCAACAGCAAGGACAAGGAAAAGAATAAAAGGAAAGCGCCTGTAACGACTCCTAGCCATAACGCACTTCGCTTGAAAAATCACACAATCTGTCCCTTAATCCTTCATTTCTTCTTTTCTACCACGTCAGTTGCCCTCATTGTGGAGCGTCAGCTCATTCCCCTCCACGGTTCCAGTGGAATTCCTTGCACCAGCGACAAGCGAAGTCCATTCGCTCGCCGTGTCAGAGTAATCGCTGTACATGTCGGACTCGGTATATACGTCACTGCTCGACACAATTGTCGTGCCACCGCTCGTTCTCCGCATGGTATCTGCCTCGCTGTGCCCGTCTTCTGCGTCCTCGGCATCGTCTTCATCCTCTTCTCTCGCAGAGTCGAGCAGCGACGACAGCTCCGTACCAGCGAAACTGTTTCGACCCTGCAAGGCCACCTCTCGGGAGACAGCTCTACTGCCAACCTCGGAGTCCTCCTCGAGAGTTTCATCGACACTGACATTCTCCTTGTCCTCGATGCCGAAACCCTTGCCCAGAGCGCCACCCCAGCTTCTCTTCCTATGGGCAGACCCACCACCAGGAGTACGCACACTTTGTGTTCTCTTAACGGATGAGGAGGAATTGCTGGGTGTCATCTGGCTGAGCGATGCAATACGTCGCGCGGCTCCGTTTGGTGTTGCTGGGGCAAGGCTGCGTCGCGTGGCGAGCACCATATTGACAGCAGCTGGTCTCGGCGAAGGCTTAGCCTCGCCTTCGACACCCGTGGCCTTTCTGACTCTCTTCCTGTTCATATTGTCGCGGCCACTCGAAGCACTCTTGTTCATCAGAAGCACCCTGGAATGGTCCATGACACCTTCGACAATACGACGCTCCAAACGCTCTGCTCTGGCTTCCATATCGGACAGCTCCTCTTTGCGAAGGCGAAGGGCAGTTTCAAGAGAAGAGACATCCCCAGTCAGGCGTGTGCGCTGTCGAATCAAGCTTTCCTGCTCAGTACGCAAGCTAAGAAGACTCTGCTTCATTCTTTCTTCCTCTTCATGCAGGCTGGCAACCGATGCAATCAGGTGCTCATGCTCCGCCAGCTTGTGTTCGAGGGCGAGACAGGTGTCTTGAAGAGTCTTCTCCCGATCTTCGTGCTCGTCCGCAATGCGCTTTGTCTGAGTGGAAATGTATTCGGATAGCTGTGCGGCGCTGTCATTCACCGTCTTGTGAACTTTGTCCAGAGTCTCGAGTTGAGCAAATGCGGCAGTGGCGGATGCGTGATGATCGACAAGTTTGTCCAGCTTCTCATGGAGGGCAGTATCATCGTACTTCTGCTCAGCCAGATGGTCAAGCTTCTCACGAATCTCCGAGTCATCGTATTTTTGATCGGCCAGCAGATTTAACTTCTCTTTGACCTCGGAATCGTCATACTTCTCAGGAGGAGGGGGAAGCATAGCCTGATCAAAAGGCTTGACCTCCACAATCTTCTCTTGGATATCGCTGGTGGACGTCTTGGAATGCTCGTAATGCTCACCAACCAAAAGAAGAATATCCTTCACTGCCTCGAGAATCTGAGGCTGGTACTCCTTCAGCTCACCTTGCAGGCCCTCAACAGCAGAGACAGCGGCTTGAACCTGATCACGAGTCTGTTGATGCTCACTTTGGCCGCCGGCTTCCGTTTCACTAGTCTTGGAGGCAAGCTCTTCAACTTTCTCGAAAACAGTCTTTGAAGCTTCTTCCATCTTTTCCAGGGACTCCGTGACTGCGGAGCCTAGCGTGTCGACCAGAAGCTTCAGTTCTTCGGAGACAGTCTTGGTAGATACGACAGCCGCTTCTATTTCGATATTGCGCTCCTCTCCTGCCTTGGCCTTTTCGTCAAGCTGAGCCTGGTATTCGTCGTACTTGGCAATAAGGGCGCCAATCTTCTCGTCAATTTTGGAAGCAATGTTGTCAGTGGCTTCCTGTAGCTTCTCATCGGATTCGAGTCTGGCACCTGCGACAACTTCCTTGGAGACCTCAAATTCAGACTTCATGGTTTCAAACATCTCTTTGAGGTCATCGCCAACGTTCTCATTCTTGTCAATCTTCTCACCAATTGTCTCGAGAACCTTGCCAAGAGCCTCGACGCCAGTAGCGCCATCGTCGAGCTTGGTCTGTACAGCCTGCTGGAATTCCTCTAGGAAAGTCTTGACTTCAGCAACTCGTTCCCCAACTCCAGCAATTTCGGTCTGGCGATCCTCCAAAGCTTTTGTAGAAGTGTCGGCGTACTCGTCGAGCTTTTCCTTGGCCTCTTTGATTAGTGCCTGAAGCCCGGAAACGTCTTCCTTATTCGAAATAGCAGCAAAGTCCATATCGGAAAGGCCATCAAGGGCGGATTTGATTTCAAGGACTCGGGCCTCGATAGCTTCGACATCAGACTTCCTCACGCGTTCGTCGCTTTCATCTTCCTTGGGAGTAGCTTCCTTCAGGTCGTCGATTCCAATGATAACTTGGGCAATAAGTTCCTCCAAGTTTGCCACATCTTCCTTGCGAGAAATGCCTTCGAAATGCCCAGAAAAGGCGCCGATGGTATCTTTATGCTCGTTCAACAAAGCAGTTATAGAATCAATATGCTCCTTACGAACAGCTTGGTCTCCTTCGATCAAGTCATCGAGACGGTCCTTGGTGTTGCGGAGAATGGTCTCGATGGCTACGACATCATCCTTGGTAGCCGCATCGCCGCTAGCAGCTTCTGTATCCTCCTCGGGAACGGCTCTGGCCGAATCTCCACCTTCCTGTGCCTGTGCGTGGATGTTGTCTACACCCTCTTGCACGTTTCGAAGCATGTCCTCCAAGCGACCAATGTCCTCCTTATGAACGGTCTCTGAGTCTGGCTCCAATGCTTCCACCTTGATACGGAGCTGGGTAATGAGGACCTCAAGGTTCTTGATGTCGTCTTGCTTAGCTGTATCAACGGGAATGATGGCCTTTGTCTGATCTTCTTCCTCCCGCGGAAGGGCGGCCACTGCGCGCTCATTGTTGTCGCGAAGTGTCTCTATATCAGATCGAACAGAGTCCAGGCCGGCCTTGAGCGCATCCAAAATTTCGTCGTTTGCAGTGAGATCTGCGGGCTTGTGGGTAACACGATCTATGCCCGCGCGTAAGTCATTCAGGCCGTCATTGATGGCATCTAGGATTTCGCTAGTTTCGGGACGCGGTCGGTGGATATCTTGACGTAGGCCATTGATGCCATTCTGAAGGGCCTCCATGAGATCCTTGTTGGAACCTTGGGGGGCGGCAGGAACCATCGACGTGTTGACAATTTCACGAATACCTTCCAATTCGCTCTGAAGCTTGCTCTGAGAGTTATCGTTGGCCTCGGAGACAAGTCTGCCAATCTCTTCTTTGAAATCTTCCATAGTGCGCGTGAGGTTATCCAGAAATTGTTGATTGTCAGATTCGCCAGAGACGCGGTCGACATAGCTCTCAATGGAAGCTCGCAGATTCTCGAGGCCATCCTTGGTCGCATCGAGCACTTGTTCAGTGTCGCGACCACTGGCGGCGACGTTGTCCTTTGCCTCCTCGGAAACAGCTCTAAATTCAAGCTTCATATACTCCATAATGTCCCGGAGACGGCTCATGATCTCCTCGTTGCTCTCACTGGAAAGATTACCGCCTCGAGGGACCTCAAACCCGCTAAGTCCTTCCTTAACAGCATGGACGACGTCTTGGTGGGTCATGTCGCTGCCATTGCCAATAGCAGCAGCAGCCACGGGAAACTCAAACTCCTCAAGGCAGTCTCGAACAGCCTCGATGATCTCATCCCGAGACAGGGAAGCCGGAGTGTCCATCTGTGGGGGCACAAAGTGCTTGAGACCTTCCACGACAGCAGTGAACACTTCATCTCTAGTTGCAGCCGGGGGACGCTCGTCGTGAGGCTGGTAATCCTGAAGACCTTCCTTGAGGCAAGCCATAATATCTTCGCGCTCCAGAGCGGACTTGCCTTCGTCTACCTCTGGCTTGTAAGCTTCCCAGGCTTCGCGTACAGCCTCAATGACGTCCTCGCGGCTCAGATCAGGCATATCGCCTCGGGTTGCTTCGTTATCCCGAAGCGCAGCACGCATGGCATTGTATATTTCCTGGTAGTCGACCACCGTCTTCTGGGAAGAAGCCGACGATGCAGACTGTCGTCGGTGCTCGCGTAGAACATTGTTGAGCTGCTCCTTCATTTGCAGGAGACCTTGATCAATGACTCGTGAGACTTCGTCTTTTCTGTCGTGGTCAGGTTCCTCTTCTGAATGTGGAACAGATTCCATGGTTTCCAGACGCTTAGCGATCTCTCGGCCCATACCGAGGACTTCGCCACGGAGTTCACGCACCAGTGCCTTCACCTCAGCTGTAAGGCCACCACCTTGCGCTACACTGTCTTTGACGGAGCGAATGATTTTGAGAAGGTCATCGTTCAACAGCTCGGCGCCGCGGTTACCCGGGGCAGACGAGCGACGGCTGTCGCCACTTTGGATGAAGTGCTCCATGCGCTGGGCCATAGAACCGCGGGGGAGTTCGAGCTCCATGCCGCTGGAGCTCATTGGGCGGGTGTTATTTGCCGCCGACTGTACAAGTGCATGTTGGTTTTGGCTTCGGACATATTGTGCCAACTCATCAACCTTGGTCGAGGTCGCCAAACCAGACAGCTTCTGTGAGAGCTGTACAAGCAAGCCTACCAGAGACTCCTCGCCATCGGCTGTGCCGAGACCGTGAAGAATCCTTTCTAAAAGGATGACGGAGGCGGAGGCCTCACCTCCGCTAAGAGATGGGGTGCTAACCGATCCCCTGTCAATAGACTCGGCGAAGCTCTTCGGGGACGGTATTCTGGGGAGATGGATCGATCGGGTTTGAGGAGAGGTAGGATGGGGTTTATCGAGCAGGAGATTATTGAGTGAGGAAATTGAGAAGCGGCTGGTTTGGTCGTCGACGCGGCCAACCAATTCCCGTATACTTTTGCGGATGTCCTCATCTCTAGTTGTGGTGGCTTCTTTGAGACTTAGAAGGTCCGTGGCATTGTCTCTGCTTCGCCGAGTTAGAGCAGACATTTCTTTCTGCAGGGCGCTGGCAATGTTTGTCAGGCTGGCGAGCTGCGATGCCAGTCCTTCAAGAGAGCTTGGCGACTTCTCTGGCGACGGAGATTGGTTTGTAACATTTACCAAGGGCTCGCCTTCCTTGAGAGAAGTTTTCGACGACATACTTTGTAGTGCAAGCATGGTAGACGAGGGGGGCGGTGTATTTTCGCCCAGAATGCTCTGGGTTGCCCGACGCCGAGGCGCAGGTCGAACAATCGGTGTCAGACTGGGGCCCGGAGCCGGTGGTGCTGAGGATGCCACAGACTCGGTAGGTGTGCATGGACGGCTCGAGCCCTGCTCAATCATCCAACTAAGATCGCGTACGCTGGCGGGCTGCAGCGACTGCATACGCCGATGAGATCCGCTTTTGACGAGGGCTCGCTCCGGCGAGCCGTCTAGGCGCCGACTGGTGCTGTGGTTATTGGCGCTTTCGCGGGCTCGCTCGTTGAGAGCAGCATGAGCGGACTGGATAGCGCTCGAGGTGCCGGTACGCGAGGTGAGTTTGGGAGATTGGGGGTTGAGTGGCAGAGGGGGCGGCGCGCGCTCGGGATCAGAGCTGTCCCACCTGCTATTGTGTTAGATTATCGGACAGGCAATAACGTTGAGCTGCTCCAAAGTGTGGTGCATTGCTGTAAGGCAGCAAACACAACGTAGGTTTCACAGATACCGGGAACAGTATGAGGCACGTACATGGGAACAAGGGCCCGCGACCGGTGGTCAACACTAGCAGAATGTTGATGCCTCGCGTACCTCTCCGCCTCGCGTGAGGCTTCAGACTCTGTATGGGGCATGATGGCGGTGGTTGGAATGTAGCGCGGATGGCAAGAATGCGGACGCCGCCCGCATCCACAACAAGAAGCAGTTGCAAATGACGTCGCGGGGACGCGGCGGAGCTATAAGTAAGAGACGCTATGAGGAGCAAGGAAGCTCGCGAGATCGACTAAAAATCAGAAAGATGTAGCAATGAATTGATAGAGAGATTCGTTCAGCAGTAGTGTAGCTCAATCGTGACGGTCTGGTCTTGTATTGAGCGGAGTAGATATCGGCGATTTGTTTATGACCAACGCCAGGTCGTCGTTGCTCGGCAACCGACACCATGTCGTTGGGCACCGCTGCAGCACGCAACGGCCAACCCTAGCGACAAATAATAACAAAGGCTTGCATGCACTGGTTCAAAGAAAGAAATATCTTGGTAAATTGATTGAAACGCCCCTTTTTATTCTACAGAGCTGAGTGCTTTCTATATGCTGCGCGTGTCTACATTTGCCGCATCTTCAATAAGAAATCCGAGCTGTGACCCAACTAAACATCGTGTCTAGATGCTTTCATATTATCCTAAATGATAAAACGCCTCCTGAACTTTTGTGTCGCAGAGTCGATCAAGGGTATTACTTTCGGAACATGACATCGAAGGCCGGAATCAAGGTCTGAGCTAGCCAGAAGGAAAAGACCAGCTTGGGGCCAGTCATGAGGAGCTGCAGCGCAACAGATTAGTGTATGTCCTAGGATGATCATCGTGGGGCGCAGTCCCGTCGTACCTTGGGCACAAGACCCTTGAAGAAACTGGAGAAGCCTTCGTTGCGGGCCATATTAGACAGAATGCGGAAACCGCTCTCGGGGTTCTCAAAGTTGCGGTTTTGAATACGAGTTTTGATAACATCGAGAGGAGCGGAAACGACGAGAGAGGCAGAGGCACCAGCAATGGATGCCACGAAGTTCTGGAACCAAGTGGCCTTGTTATAGTCCGACAGATGGAAGAGGTACTCCTTGGCAAAGGCAGAACCACCGAACAGCTAAGTTTATATGTGAGTAACTGGCGGGGAAAGGGACATTTGGGGGACACCATACAGCAAAGGAACCAGGGGCATTTCTGGCAGCAGTCCAGCCCCAACCACGGTATAATCCGAAACCTTCGTCACCGATAATTCTCAGGACACCACGACCACGGAAAGCCTCCGGGTTGGTCTGGCGCTTGATCTTGAGAACATCGAGCGGCAGGAGGACGATTTCACCGATACCGATCAAGCTATCAAATTTGTACGTTAGCTTTTGCCGGTCCAATGTGCAAGACCAGAAAGATGTTGGTATCAGCCTTACCTGCCAGCAGTGGAGTGCATGATGGCCTTGCCAGTCTTCTTGCCGAACGTATTCTCAAAGTCCTTTCCGTAGTGCACGCTGAGCCAGTCACGGGCGACAGGCTGACCTCCATACTTGTATATGCGTTGAAGGACCTTGTAGCCGGCAGCGTAGCCAAGACCGGGGAAGAGGGAGAAGAACTTGCGACCGATAGGCGCCGAGGCCTTTTCCTTGAAAATGACCTTGTTGAGCTCGCTGGCATTGGCAATCTATTTGGCGGAAACAGTTAGTGGACCGAGATTCAAGACAAATGAGCGATTCGATGAACGCGCGCCAGTCGGAGGCGGTGTCATGGAGCGCAGGCGTACTTTGGTCTGGTTGCTCATGAGTCGCTTGGCAATGGTATCGACCTGGACAGAGTTTTAGTTAGTAATAGATATTCGCACGCATGGCAATTCAGCTTGAGGCAAACGCACAGGGTGGAAAACGGCGAGCTCGGCGATACCAGCAGAACCTGCGATCCTCGGTCAGCGAATAATGTCATTGTGCGACTGCGGAATAAAACGACCAGAGGTTTGCAGCGCGAGCACGCGCAAACCCAGCGATGAACAAGGGCACTGTACCGGAACCAAGCACACGGGCGAGGCCCGACTCCTTCTCGTTTGCGCCAGCTGGAGGGGACATTTTGGAGCGAGCAATTCGGATTTGAGAGTGTGGTCGGTCGTAACTTGCTGGAGGATGTCGCAAAGGCTCCTGGTTTTTTTGGAGAGCGAGCAAGGGGAAAAAAAAGATGGGGCCGGCAGGGAAAGCTGGAGCGGGACGGCCAGGTCAGGTCCGATGCCGACAACGGACTGCTATTTAGCAGCTGGGTACCTAGGTACCGGCCTAGGCAGGTCTCACACTGAATGCACTACTGACACTCAGCTCACGGAGTCTCGTCAGGGCTGTCGAGTAATCTAATAGACCTGTATTTAGCCAATGCTTCTTCCATCTTGACTGTCTGGATTTCTTGCAATGCCTGGCAATAAATGCACTCATTTGCGTCTGATTTGCACATGTTCGGCTGTTCATTCTGCATTTATTAGTGGCTGCAGCCTGCAGGCTACCCGCCGAAAAGGCTCCATAAAACCCGTCTTATCGCGCACTCTATACCCACTGATTTTTGACATTTCATGCCGTGCCGTGCCATTCAGTACCCTATCGTGCCTATAACATATTTGCCTCCATACCTCTACCTATCCCTTTCACTGTCAGGAAGGAACAAGCAGGTCATTTTCAAATAGGGATGTTAGCTAATTAGTTAACTAAATAATTAAGAAGTGATCTAGAGGTACTTCCCTCCCTGGCAGATGCAGCAAGGCTCTAGGTACTTGCCGCCCACTTGATCACCAACAGCTTCGGCGAGTGTAAATACTACCAAAACGCTGGAACTTGACTTCTTATAGGGCCATCCAAGTACTGATGAGCATGACCAAAGTAGCTCTCGGTATTCGTCCCAATGAATCTCTTGTAATCAATGGGCTTTTGAGCTACACCTAGACAAGACGTTCAATGGCGCCCCCCGTGGTGATGGTACTTGATGCGTCGAATTCATGATTCTCATTTCCCATATAACATCTATTCTGAGAAACCACATTAGAACAGCACGCGCTAACGCCTTTCGAAACGCGCTAATATCCCACGGCTTAGGTCACTTAAGCGGATTATAAAATTTCATCACCTACATATACTCCTAGCAGTCTAGGTACCAGCCCGCATACTCCTAGTCTAGCACCGCCGTGATGCGGCCTACATCCCACTATAGTCTTCTAGAGAATAAGATCCTCATGCGTAAACACTAACATATCACTATGCGGCAGCCACTGCTTGACGCTGGCGCTGTCCTTATAGAAGAGGCCGTTGGTTGCTACATAACGCCTCCAGATGCGCGCTCGCAGGGTCTCGTCGTCCATCTCTCGTGGCATGACGTCGCTGTTGTCGCCGAGTAGCGGGTCGTACGACC